TCGTCACAGCCAAATGCATCGCTGCCTGCTGACCTTTTGCAATAATCGAAAGTGAACGATGCGATGCCGAAAGAAAACCGAAATTTCCCAATCGAAAAAACTTAAAAATCGAAATGGAAGAAACCTGAAATGCATATCGGTCTCACTTGGATTGCGTCTAAATGAAAAACTCAATGTATAATAATAGCGGCCTGGCAAAAGATGATGGCGAAGAAAAGAAAAGTTAGGCTTTCGTCACGCTTATACAATTTTTGTTTATTTTCGGTTTTTGTATCGTCTTTTTGGCCGCGACTGCGCAATGTCTTAAGGCCCCAAAACCTCATACTCTATACCATCCAAAGCACCGATCCTAACTCCCTCCATCAAGTTCGATTCCGTTTCCAGCTTCGATTGCAATTATCTCGCTCGGCTGTTGTCTAAATGAATTCAATTAAAAATTCACAATCGACAATAAATAACCCCGGCTCGGCGGCATTTTCACTATGCTATATATGCTATACTTATACTCATACTTCGGCGGACTTTGAGATACCCGATCGAATGCAAAAAGCCAGCAAATGGCAGGAAAAAAAATGCTAAGCGAAAAGTAAACAAAACAAAGCTAAAATCGCTCTGCACATTGGGCTGAAAAATGCTGGGAATTGTGCAGGTGAATCATGGGTTCTTGAACAAGTGCATTTTCAATGGGTTTGTCATTTTAAAGGAATTATTTTTGTTCCCCAGCACCAGAAACAGTCAAAAATAAGTAACCAGAATTTTTTAAATATTTTTACATCAATAAATTTAGTTAGATTAGGATAAAAGCGTAACATAAGTATGGATAATAGTAAAGTAAAGTATATACATTATAAAGTTGTCGATTCGTTATTATTATTCTTATTCGTTATACCAAATACATAGAGTAATAATCCAATAGAACACTTCACAATAGGCAAATATTTTTTTAATTTAATTAATTTGGGAACTACAATTTAGTTGAATTTCCTATATCTTCGCTTATGTGTAAAATACCAGGAGATTATTCAACTTTGATAAGATAATTAGATGGCATTTGTGTAAAAGAAATTCTATGCCTTCTGTTGTGTGGCAATATTTTAGAAACAATCTAGGTGAGATGTTGTATCTGGAAAGGGGTTCCATTTAAGGTTGCCCAACGACCCAAAAGTGATCCCCTAGAGCGGGTAAACAAAATCGATTGTAATGCCGGCCAGTGACACTATTTCACCCACTCGAAGTGCTATCTTATCGCCGGGTGCATTCAACTTGGCTCTAGTTCTAACCACTGTGCCTATCTCTATATATATAAATCGAAGGTAGTTAGCACTCAGTATGCATAAAACTGCGAACTGGCGAGCGTGGGAAAAAGCATTGGCTAATCTCGGACCCCACCAAGTTTGACCAGTTGGTTTTGGTTTCGGATTGGTACTGGGTACTGGGATTTTGGTTATGGCTATGGTTGTGTTTGTGGATGGGGATGACGTTCAGAGACTTCCCTGTTGCAACGCACATTACTCATACGCCGCGTGGCATTCTCGGCAAAGGGTCAAGAGACTCGACTTTTGGCGCAGAACATCGGTATCGATATGCGGATCTGTTATTATGATCCGGCCTGCCTTTAAAGACTTTCATTCATAGAAACTTTCAAAAAGCAAAGCGAAGACAATAAAAAAAAAACCAACAAACACGAAATAACTTCCAAGTGACCATCAAGAACTGGCCGCGAGAACGGGTTTCTGGCTTTTGGCTTTTGGGTTTTGGCCATAATTTTTCTTATTTTTCGTATTTCGTATCTCTCCGCACCCTGGCAGAATACAATTTTGCAGATACATTTCGCAGGCAATCTAACAGTTGGCTGCTAATGTGATTTGTGAATGTTTCGACGTGTATTTCGTATTTCGCAAGGCGAAGTAAATAAATTACATTGGCAGTTTAACGACGTCGTCTTGCCGTTGGAAATTGTCGCCGATTGGCGGCTTTTGTTTGAGTCTAAGATTTCCAGGCCGGTTGCAGCAGGGCTTGAGCCCCGAGCCCCCTGTTCCCAGCAAATTGCTGGCCATTTAACAAGCCAATAGATACAAAGCCGAGCCACACAATGGTCACACAAAAATACAAAGACGCATTGTAAGCTACTTTACAGCTGGGAACAAAATAATAGGGCTTAAACTGACTGCCATCAGCCATGAAAACTAGGCCTGCATTTCAGGAACTATAAATATTTATTCACTATTTTAGAAGCAATTTGTTTCATTTAGTAAATTTATTGACCAACTCCAAGTTTCTAAAATTCCATTCAATATTTTAGGGTGATTTAAATAAAGTGTATCTCTTTTTTTAAGATCATAATAGGATATAACATCCCATTGACTTATTTTTATATTCTTTTGCTTATACATTCTTTAAATATTCTTATCATTATTTTTCTGTTGTATTTTATTCTATCTTAATAAGATTTTTACAAAGGAAAGGCAGTACTATTTTTGCGATGCGAATTGCACTTGGCTAGATACGTGGTCATATTGGATACACAACCTGCTGCCGATGAGCTTCAATGGTTCGCGATCGCTTGATTGACAGTTAGCTAACCGTTTCGACTTAATACAAGTGTTTAACAGTTAGTCGGCGTGGAAATAGTGAGAGATACTTGCCGCCAAGGAAATGCTATCATACCCATAGAGAGGTACGAACCAGCGGCCCATGGGAAACCGATGTCGGTGGTGGTGGGGGTTGCACAAACAGCACTTATCTGCCGATATCTGGAGCAATGGAACCTGTTCTTACACTGATAAAGCAACAATCGACAATGGCAACACAATTACGCTTACGATTCCGGGAAGCAGGAAACTAGTAATGAATGGAGGAACTTTAATGGATCCATTGCGGTCTGAATCTATTCCAATGCCTCCGTTTGCTTTATGGAGCGTTGCTTTCCTCTGGCAATCGTTAAAGAGGGTCATTTGGGGAATAAAATCTGGTATTTGAATATTAAAGAGGTTGAAGATGGTTGAAGATTGTTGGGAAAGGTTTCTTTACAACGTTTGTGTTGATAGGAAATTGTCCCCATTGATAGAACTTAATATATTTAAATGAAACCTAATGGATTAAATAATTGTATAGTTATGCCTTGTTTTTATCACCAAAACTTTGGCTCATTTTCTCAGTGTGAGCAAGAGAAACCATTTAAATTTCTTGTGACACTTAACCTTACTTGTTACTCTTTTTAAACAAATTGCATGTGCTTGCGAAACGTTTGTCATTTCGAAATTTGGCAAGACACACAACGCACGCACCTTTGACCCTCACCCAAAAAGTATGAACTAACGTGGCTGTAACTCACTCCCTGTCCCAAGAAGTCGCAAAAGTTTGCGAAAATCCCCTGCCCTTAGTAAATATAGAGCCCTCTGCCCTCGAAGGAAAAAGACATTTCTGTGACCTTAACCTTAACACCAATCTGTGGTTCTTTTGGGGATGGGGGTAGGGGAAGATCTTGGGGAGAGTTATTCGAATATATAGAGGCAGGCTGAAAACCAGTTGCCGCAGAACCTTACAAGTGCCTCGCGATCTTGGCCCGAACAAGTTGGCCCGAACGGACAGATGGAAATTGTTTTAAAAATATGGGTCGTGCGACAAGAAATGAGAAAGTGCCAGTGAGCTGCGGATCCATGGAGCGCAGACCGTTAGAATCGACTTTATGAATGCAAGTCTTGGGCTTGGCCAGCGCAGATCGAAGAGCCACTAATGGCAGCGGGTTTTCGAGGGGCCGGACCCTCCTCCCGTTCTCGTTTCCCATCGCCATCTCTATAGAGTGGCTATACCCACCATCTCCCCATCTCCCCGAGGGGAGTGCAAAAACGGAACGATACGATGCCAGAAAATAGCCCCAGAGAATGTGCCCGCTGCTGTTAGAAGAATCGAGAAATGGCAGGAGAAAGATTTGTGGAAAGACCACAACATTCTGGGAAAAAACCAGAAACAACTACAACTAAATGTGGATGCAATTCCTCTTTAATGTGAAATCATTTTCAAAATGAGTAATGCTCCTAAATGGTTCTTTTTTAAGATCATTGAAATAAAGCCCCGAAGTGAATATAATCTAGAAGGGGCCAGGGAAAATATAGATTAAAATAATGCTTAAGTAAATTATAATATATTTTTGTTAGTTAAGAACTCATTATTATGGGTGCTTTAAGAAAGGCTATTAGAAAATTAACTGAGGAAAGTACATTTACTACAGAATATTTATCTTAGGCTTGAGGAATGATGTTTTTATATTATCATATAGCAAGTACCTATGTTTAAAGAAGTATCTTTGAATAATAATATTCCTACTACTATGAATTCTTAATCTTTTACTATAAAATACTTTTCGAAAGGTTAAATAAATAATGTATTTTATAAAATCATATAGCAAGTATCTCATGCTTAAGCAACTATCTTTGGAATTTAATATTCATTTTATGGCTTATTGCATTCGCAGCTCTATTTGGTCAGCATCGTTAGCTGATAAATTGGGCACCCATTAATTTATTCACTCGCCTCTTTCGCCTTTGTCTTATTATTATTAGTTCCAAACTGTCAATAAGGCAAGGTCACCGGTCGGTTAAGGAAATGACTGGCGGTGTGAGAACTCTTGAGATTCCGAAGATAAATAGGAGAGACTAGTTGAAAGGTGACCTAGACAAGTGGAACCCCAGATTAGAGCGTTAAATGGAAAAGGAAATGAACTTCACTAGCTTATATTCATATTTTTGAAATATCAACTATTTATTATTATAATAATTAACTATGGGTATGAAATTGTTTTTAGTATCGTAGATATATTTTATAAGCTATGGAATATTCTTTGACATCGAATAATTTGCAATGTTTTAAAACTTTGTGAAAATAGTTATTTAAAGTTAATAAGCATTAAAAGAAAGACTGAAAACTATGTAACAGCAAATCTGTTATGAGGTTTCGAAAATAGTGCTCAATATTATTATTAAATATTTTCCCCATTTCAGTGATCACCTCGGGATCAGGATGTCGGCTGCCACGCACATGGCAATGCCGGCTCACGCCGTCCCGCCGCCCGGAACGCCACCGGTGCTGGGGGGCAGCGGGTGCTCCAATCTCAATCTCAGCCTGCCGGCGGGCAAGCGTGGCCACAAGCGCAGCGTTTCGCTAGAGAACAACGCCCCTTTGGCGCTGCGTGGCACGCCCAGTTTGGGCCAATCCTCGCTGGGATCGCCGCTGCTGCAGTTTGGCCAGGGTCCGAATCCGACACCAGGACACTCGCAGGCCTTCCACACGGGCACCCTGAAGTCCCGCCAGGAGCAGCGGCGGCTGAGCCAGAAATTCGGGAGTCACAGCAATCTGGACGACGAGGGCGTGGGCATTGGAGTGGGCGGGGGCATGGGCGTGGGCATGGGCCTCCACATGCGCAGCAAGTTCCAGAACATCCGTCAGATGTTCGAGCTCAGTCGCAGCTGCGTGGGCGGCGGGGGCGGTGGCGGTGGTGGGTGTGGCGACGGCAGAGGGGGCGGTGCCGAGGAGGAGGCTATGCAATCACTGCCAGCAACACTGCCGCAGCAGCAGCAGAGGCGGACCACGCCCATAGCCGGCGGAAGTCGCCCGCAGCAACAGCAACTGGGCGAGGCGGAACAGGTGAGGCCCTCATATATACACTAAGAAAAACAATTTAAAGTATATATGATTTAAATATATTAAATATCCAGGTTGATCATAATGTTTACAATTATGATATTATAGGTTACATAACCAGAACTAACACATTTTAATAGGATTTTTTATTATATATAAGGCTAACGCATTTTTAAAGGATTGTACAAAATCTTATTGTGTTATCTTAAGACATACATAGGTGATTTTTTGATTTAGTATATTATTGTACAGAAGTAGTTTTTTGTGTTTTTCTATGGCCTTACGATATTGTAGTTCTTGTTGCTTGTATATTTCAAACTAAATATGGGTCGATTATATTATTATTATCAAATTTGCTTCCAATAGATGATCTCTAGTTCCCGAACAGTTGCTTACTATATTTCTGACTTTATTTTAAACCATAATTGATCTGAATTTCCAGACCAGCGGCAACTTTCTGCGACCGATCGCCTTCAAACCCATTCCGTTTGAGCCGGACTATCGCATCGCCTGCCAGCAGCAGCAGCAGCACCAGCAGCAACTGCAGTTGCAACAGCAGCAGCAACAGCAGCAGCAGCAACACCAGCAACACCAGCCACACCAACAGCAACATCAGGCGCTGCAGCTGCCGGCGGAGGGCGGGCCGGCGGGGGGCGGGGCCGAGCGGTACGGCTACGGATCGACTCCGTCACTCGCCCCACTGCCCCCCGCATCAGCCCAGAAATTTGGCAGTGAGTAGCAGTTAACATTCCGCTCTATCTAGATTAAATGCCCACTTGACATTGGGGGCAATTCTAGGCGATAAATTATAAATTATCTATGAAGTGAAGTGAATCTAGTCGACAGGTTGGCTAAAATGTAATATTTTTTAGCAAAAACACACAAAAAGGAATACTGAATATCATTGATATCCATTTGATATTAAAAATGCCTAGGAATAATACTACTATCGGGATCCATTAGCTCAAGTTATGGAGTCTATAAGTCCATTCTGAAAGCCATGGGAAATACGGAAATCTTAAAACCTCTAAAAATACGGAAAGATCGAACATGAAAATAGGTTAAAGTTTTGACACTCGTTTAAATGTAATATATCAGTGTAGAATATTAGAGAAATTAACCACAAACTTAAAGAGGTATCCCCCATCAAAATTGGTATCCTATAACTCAAGTTATAGAATTTGGAAATTCAGTTTTGGGGTTTGATTCTGAAAGCTCTTAGAAATACGGAAAATTTGAACATAAAAATGGGCTAAAATTTTTACCCTCTGTTGAAAGAAATATTTAAGCGTAGAATATTAGGGAATTTAAATACAAATTCATAGAGGTATCCCACTTGGAAATCGGAACCCAGTAACTCAAGTTATGGAATCTAGAAGTGCAATGTTGGGTCCCCATTCTGGACCACATCGGAAATTCGGAAAAATCGAACATGAAAAGGGGGTAAAATTTTGACCCTCTTTTAAAAGAAAAATTTTAGTGAAGACCATTAGATAATTCAACCACAAACTCATAGTGGTATCAATCTCCGAAATCGGAATCGAATTACCCAAGTTATGGAATTTATAAGTTGAGTTTTGGGTTCCTAGTCCGAAAATCATTGGAAATACGGAAAAATCGAACATGAATGGGGGGTAAAATTTGGACCCTCTTTTAAAAGACAAATTTTAGTGTAGACCGTTAGATAATTCAACCACAAACACATAGAGGTATCAATCTCCAAAATCGGGATCCAATTACCCAAGTTATGGAATTTATAAGTTGAGTTTTGGGTTCCTATTCCGAAAACCATTGGAAATACGGAAAAATCGAACATGAATGGGGGGTAAAATTTGGACCCTCTTTTAAAAGACAAATTTTAGTGTAGACCGTTAGATAATTCAACCACAAACACATAGAGGTATCAATCTCCAAAATCGGGATCCAATTACCCAAGTTATGGAATTTATAAGTTGAGTTTTGGGTTCCTAGTCCGAAAATCATTGGAAATACGGAAAAATCGAACATGAAAGGGGGGTAAAATTTTGACCCTCTTTTAAAAGAAAAATTTTAGTGTAGACCATTAGATAATTCAACCACAAACTCATAGAGGTATCAATCTCTAAAATCGGGATCCGATTACCCAAGTTATGGAATTTATAAGTTGAGTTTTGGGTTCATATTCCGAAAACCATTGGAAATACGGAAAAATCGAACATAAAAGGGGGGTAAAATTTGGACCCTCTCTTAAAAGACAAATTTTAGTGTAGACCGTTAGATAATTCAACCACAAACACATAGAGGTATCAATCTCCAAAATCGGGATCCAATTACCCAAGTTATGGAATTTATAAGTTGAGTTTTGGGTTCCTAGTCCGAAAATCATTGGAAATACGGAAAAATCGAACATGAATGGGGGGTAAAATTTGGACCCTCTTTTAAAAGTAAAATTTTAACGTAGACCATTAGATAATTCAACCACAAACTCATAGAGGTATCAATCTCTAAAATCGGGATCCAATTACCCAAGTTATAGAATTTATAAGTTGAGTTTTGGGTTCCTAGTCCGAAAATCATTGGAAATACGGAAAAATCGAACATGAAAGGGGGGTAAAATTTGGACCCTCTTTTAAAAGTAAAATTTTAACGTAGACCATTAGAGAATTCAACCACAAACTCATAAAGGTATCAATCTCCATAATCGGGATCCAATTACCCAAGTTCGAATTTAGAAGTTGAGTTTTGAGAAATCAACCATGAAAATGGGCTAAAACTTGGACGCTCTTAAAAAAGAATCATCTTAATGAAGAATATTAGATAATTCAATCCCAAATGTTTTTAATAAAAGGTACCACGGATCTGCGACACCTGGCTGCTCGGCGACGCAATCATCGTCTGCTGCAGCGCTGCAGCAATGAGGACGCCCTGACCCTTGACCTCTTGGTCACAGGAAGCCACGACAGACCCGATGGGGCCAGCAGGTGTGTTCCACATATATACACTGATTTATAATTGTATTTACTTACGTATTTAATCTGCAGCAAGAGCAGCGGCACAGTGGTGGGCAGCAGCGACCTGACGCCCTCGCCCTCGGACTCGGGGATCTCGGAACTGGAGGCGGCCCTGAAGGATCGCGACTCGGAGCTCTCGTACCTGCGGCAGGCCATGGAGCACAATGAGAAAGTAATTTTCCAAGTCCAAAAGGTTAAGCAGGCAGCCGCCCGCCCTCTGAACCCATGATTTTGATGCATATCTTATTTCTGTTTTACACTTTAACCCATTTTCGATCAGGACAAGGAGGTGTACTGGGAGCACGAGACGCAGCGGCTGCGGCTCTTCTACGAGGGTCAGCAGCGGGAGTGCCAGCTGAAGCTGCGCAAGATGGAGCAGCTCCTGGGGCTGCAGCAGTTCCAGCTGAAGCAGCACAAGCTGCGCCAGTCGGAGCAGGTGCAACGGCTGCAGCAGCAGCTCGACCTGGCCCGCGACGCCAGCCAGGGGCTGCAGCAGCAGGTGGACGCACTGCGTCACCAGCTGGAGGACAGCGAGTGGCGCGTGTGCGAGCGCAACGGGGAGATAGCTTTACTCAAGACGCAGCTCAAGGAGGCGCATGTATGTTTCACTGCTTATATTCTTTGGTGAGGGTAATATTGATTGAGAGAGTTTGCCTTTCTTGCAGCTGGAAATCAACATAAAGGATCATGCGATTGTCAGCCTGAAGCACAGCAGCAACAGGAGCAGCAGCAACAGCAATAGCAGCAACAGCAACAGCAGCAACAGCAACTCCAGCGACAGCAAGTCCTGTGAAATAACCACAAGCCAAAGTCAACCAAAGCAGCAGGCGAAGGAGGAACAGCAGCAACAGCAGCAGCAGCAGCAGGAATTTCAGCAGCAACAGCAACATCAGCAGTTTCAGCAGCAGCAGCAGCAGCAGCAGCAACAACAACAGAAGCTGCAACTTCAGCAACTGAATCAACAGCAGCAACAGCAGCAGGAATTGCAACAGCAACAGCAACATCAGCAGTTTCAGCAGCAACAGCAACATCAGCAACTCAATCAACAGCAACAGCAGCAACACAAGCCACCAAACCAGCCTGACCAGCAGCAGCTGCAGAAGATCATCACGCTGAAGGATCAGGTGATTGGAGCACTGACCAGCGAGCTGGCCAAGTTGCGCAAGGAGCTCTCCGACCTGGCCATTGCCCACGAGTACGGCGAGGAGCCCTGTGGCCGCTACACTCGCCTCAAGCAGCAGCTGGACAACCTAAACGAGATCTGCCAGAAGACACGAAAGTACACCACATCAACCGCATCCATGGCCGCATCTCCGACTGCTCCGGCTGTTCCGGCTGCCAGCCAGGAGCTGCCGCTGCCCAAGCTGGATGTCCTGGTGCAGCGATTGCAGCTGGATCAGGGACAGGCTCCGCAGCAAACGCTGGACACCCTGATCGAGGAGTCGACCACGTATGCCGAGGACATAGCCAAGCTGCGGCAGAAACTGGACGACTTCCGGCTGAACCTGGAGCTGGAGAAGCGCCAGTGGTGCGCCGAGAAGGACAAGGTGCTGGGCTACCAGAAGCAGCTGCAGGCCCACTACATCCACATGTACCAGAAGCTGCGCTGCCTGGACAGCGGACAGGGAGGAGCAGCCCCTGGCGGAGCAATGGAGGCCACCAATGGCCACTGAGAGGTGTTCCAGGAAGATCAGGCAATGGTGCTATCGCCGCCGGGGCAGTAAAACTTAGGATCCAAGGAAAAGCAGTCTTTAAAGTACGTTTCCTCACAGCAGCTGTTTTCAAAAAAATACTCTTCCACACAAGAAAACTTTAAGGAAAAATTGACCAACATAATAGTTATCGAATTGTCAATTAGACCAACGAAATAGTTACCCTCCCAACAACAAAATACACACAACTCACCATTTTGTGGTAGTTTTACCATTAACGAAATAGTTCTATCCCAAACACAAAATACACACAAGTTACCATTTGATGGTAGTGTTTCTATTAATGAAATGGTTACTCCCCCAACAACAAAATACACACAGTTTACCATTTTATGGTAATTTTAATATTAACGAAATAGTTACTCCCCAAACAACAAAATACACACAACCTACCATTTTATGGTAGTTTAACTATTACATTTTTTAACAGTTCTTAACCTTTTTTTACAGTTACGTAACTATTCGTTTTGGTCAATTTTATCCATAAAATTTGCTTGTGTGTCTTAAATAACGTATACAAATGTTTCTAATATCTTCCCAGAGGTTATCATACTAAATGACAATTTAATTGTTTTAAATTCTAACTAGAACATAACTATAAGGATTTATAGTAACGTTCTACATTATTATTATCATTTAGGAGCAATTAATTGTTTTCAACAACTGACCTGTCTCCGAGTTTCCAGCAATTTGTTTCAGAAAGCAAAACATTATTTTTAAAATTTTCTATATTATTTTGAACGCAGCTGTTTAGTAATTTCTCAGAACTATATTTTCAAATCATTTTTTCTTAGGCCAATAACAAAAATGTGCCCAAATTATAAATGTTACTAATTTTCAATATAAAGAGCACATTATTTTTATAGTCAAAAGGTACTATGTTTAATAATTGCTTACAATTCTATTCATTGGATAAAAAACCTAGTTAAGCCGTACAGATTTGGTAATACCCACATTTCTCCAGTGACTCCACACTTTCCTTCCTTGGGCGATAAATAATACACGATTTTCGATATTACTAGAGTTGATATACACAAAACTCTATCAAATATTTATACAAAATATGCATATTTTATTTTTTTTGTTTTTAATATTTTACAAATATATATATATGTATACTTTTAATTTATTAAATGTAATTATAAACGAGAAAAAAAAACATTTGTGATTTCGCATGTTGAATATAATAATATATATTGATATATATATGTCGTTCCATTATGTATATGCAATACAAAATTATGGTAATGAAATAACAAGATTTTGTTTTTTATTTATGAGGACCAGCGCTACAGATAATGTGCAGGATCAATAAATGGTAAATGACTCAACTGGAGGCTAAATATAAAGTATATGTATTTGGTAATTAAAAAAATAAAAAAAAGTATATAAGTTAATACAATCGTTACTCGTAGATTACATAGTATGCTTAATGCAAAGGCCTGTCCTGGGATCGGAATCTTGTCAAGATCAGGTCAACTAACTGTGTAAGACTAAGGTAGCTCGATTTGTTTGAGACAAAAAACATAGGTAAACATAATCTTTACAAGAAAACAAATAATAAAATAATAGGCTTAATTTTGGACGGCTATAAAATTAAAAACGGTTCTATTGCGACAAACATAAAAAGTACTCGTGATTGGGTAATCTTAAAGAAATCAAGAAGTATTTACTCCAAGGCAAAATGTCAAAATTGAAATTTCGTAAGTTCTGTTTCTCAACTCACTTTGATATTAGAATTTCGTTTGAACAACGTATTTATCTTACTTGTCTACCAAGAAAAAGTTATGAAAAAACAGAAAGCCTTTCCGATTGGCTAAGGAAGTTCATATTTAAGTTAGGCAAAATTGTATCATTTTTACAAAAGAAAATGTTTTAACAAAAATGAATAATTTTCGTTTCAAGAAAATAGTTTTTTGAAAAAAACATATGCCAATATGACAGCTTGTTCTTAGAGAAAATATACCCAAACAAGTGTTTCCTTGTTGTTTCTTGTGGGTTGAATACAGAGTGATATTGATTACAAGATTATATATAGAAAATGGTGGCAGTTTCAAAGTTGATTTTACGCCTGAAATATGAAAAATAGCCTTGGGCTCTCCTTGGGATTACGTTTTTCGAATAGTTTTTTGAAAAAAACATATGCCAATATGACAGCTTGTTCTTAGAGAAAATATACCCAAACAAGTGTTTCCTTGTTGTTTCTTGTGGGTTGAATACAGAGTGATATTGATTACAAGATTATATATAGAAAATGGTGGCAGTTTCAAAGTTGATTTTACGCCTGAAATATGAAAAATAGCCTTGGGCTCTCCTTGGGATTACGTTTTTCCGCCTTCAATGGTTTCATGTCAAACAAATCGCTCCACAACAAACACGCACTCTTCTGGCAGTCGCACACACTCATTCGCTCTTATATGTATGTATAGCTATGGAGGGATCCTGGGCATCTGGTATCTGCGCTTAGGCGCACTCCTCCACGTAGGTGGCCGGGAAGATGCCGACGTGGTTGCGCAGAGCACCCAGCCACCAGCCGTCGTCCTGCTTGGCATGTACCTCGATGATGTCGCCGGGACTCAGTTCCAGCTCGTCGTAGAGCTTCGGGGTGTAGCTGTAGAGCGCCTTGCAGCGCCCCAGTATTGGACCGGATCCGTCCTTCTGGCTCTTCTGCAGATCCTGCGCATTCTGGTAGAAATGCTGCGTCTGCATTTGGGCCTTGATGGCTGGATTTTGCAGCTGCTGTGGCTTTTCCGGCTCATCATCCTCGTCCTGCGAGCTGAACTCATCGAAATCAGAGTCCTGCTGATTGGATCCACCATCCGCCTGGCCGCGATCATTGTGATGGTGATGGTGATTGTGATGGCCATCCTGCAGATTGGCCAGAGTTTTGGACTTTACGGACGCGGCCACCGCGGCATTTGTGGTCGAGATTATCTTTGGTTGGCTGGTGAAGTTGGTCTCGATGTTGCTCTTGCTCCGGTTGAACTGCTTTACCACCGAGCTAATGTCAGTGCAGGAGCCGTTGCTGTTGTTGTTGCTATTGCTGCTGCTGTGCAGGTGGGAGCAGTTCTCCTCGGGGAGCTCATCCTCGTGGTTAGCGGTTATATCGGTGACATCGTTCGCCAGCATGCTGGTCGATTGCTGTGTCTGCGACTTGTCGTTGTTCTTCAGCCAGTTGGGCACCTTTAGGATGCTCTGCTGCAATCCAGTGCGGTCACGGGTGATCTGGGTGTTCGAAAAGATGGAGGATTGCATTAGAATTTCGTTTTTTAAATTGTACAAGACTTAATATTTAAGATTTGTGTCTTAAAGCCAATTATTTGGAATATTTTACTGGTTAAGGTACAAGATAATATTTAAAATGAGTAATCCAAACCCACCTGAATGTGCTGGGCCAGCGGATGGGTGGTCCTTGGCTTGTGGTCCAGCTCCAAGAGGGCAGAGTGCAGTTTGAGTCGGGCCCCCTCCAAGTAAGTCAACATAGAGCGGATCTGCAAAGGACCACATTTGGTTAGATCTTCCATAAATGCCGAGAAAAATAGGAGTCCCACGTGATAGAGCTTGTCGGTAATGTTCTGGTGCTCCTGGTGGTTGAGCGATTGAGAGAGGCCCCTCAATCCGTCGCGGGAGCGACGCTCGCGCTCCAGATCCGTCTTGACCAGCTGGAGTAGCTTGATCAGGGCGTGCTTGCGCCGCTCGCGGTTCATGGCCAGCGTGGTGTGCTCGCAGTAAAAATCGGGGAGCAGCTGCTCACTGGGCCCCTCCGAGTTGCGGCGGATGTGGCGCACCACCTGCATGTCCTTGGCCACATTGCAGGCCTCCAGCTGCGGCTGTAGGCGATTGTTTAGTCCCCCCAGGATCGGATTCATGTCCGAGATGAGTCGGGCATACTGCTGGGCAAAGTTGTGCATATTGCCTAGTCGTTGCTGCTCGCTACTCTGCAATTGGGCGCTTCCCCGGAGCACGGCCATCTCCCAGTCGACACGGGCACGCTCCGCCCGGACGCACAGGGTGTAGTATTCGACATCTGCCCGCTTCACTGCCTCCTCGGCCTTCTTGCGCTTGTTGTCCAGCTTGACGCAATCCTTCTCCGCCGACTTGAGCTCCTTCTCGGCGGCCTGCTTATTGGGTCCCTGGTGGAGCAGGGCGATCGATGGGGACTTCTGAATGCGCACGTCCAGCATCGCGTCCTGGAGCTTCTCGTTCTCGCGGGCCGCTGTATGGGATGCCTTCTTCGCCTTGGCCTCGCTGGCCCGCCATTCGCCCAAGAGACGGGACGCCTTGTCCACATTGCTCTCCACCTGAGGATTGGGAATCATTCAAGTTTAGATATGCTTTTGACCACATTTTAGAGTCACTCACCGCCTTGCGCGCCTTGTGGTGTCCTTCGACGACGCTCTTGAGCGGCTTGACCAACTCATCCGTGAGCGAGACCGCCAGCTGGCGATGGATGTCACTGCGGCTCTCCATCTCCGTAGCCACGCCACGCCAGGCGTCGGCCACGCTCCCGGGGATCTCCCTGCCGGCCTTGTTCAGCTTGCTGGCCAGCTTCGACAGCGACTTGGAGTAGATCAGCTCCGAGTCGGCTCTGAAATGGGTAAATTTATTTAAATCTCAGGTTTTTCTAATTTTATATAAATGAATGCTATATTTTTCAGTATTTAATATAATAAATAAATATTATAATTTTCAGTACTTAACTCTTTTAGAACTGGTGGTTTTAATGTAAGTAAAAGTATCATATTAAAAATATTTACAATTTTGATCTGTATTTAAAAGTTTTTGAAATGAAGGTTTGAATATAGATAATATTAATAATTTTAAATATCTTACAATTTGTTTAGATATTTAGGTATATTACCCAATTATTAGGAAACTGAAGAGAAATTACTATATTATATAACATACGATTAAAATCCCTTATCATATGATTAATTATTTGAAATATTAAAAATCTTATATTCTTCTCCTATCTTTATAATCTAACATACTTCTAAAATTACATTCAAAAATAATAAATATTAAAATCCTTTTTATTATAATATACGTGTACTGTACATGATAAACTCACCTCTCCTGCAGGACGAAAATGAGCTCCTTGCTGAAGTCGCCGCCCTGTTTCACATATCGCCGGAGTTCCTCGAAGCCGTTCTGTCCCTGTTTTGGGTACCAAAGAGTACAATTAGTAAGCCGACTATACCTCAGATGAACCCGCCCCGCTAAGTAAACCCCAGACCAACAACAACTACATGGACCTGTACCTCATCCTTGAACCGCTTGGCATTCGGCGACAAATCCTCCTCGCTGTTCCGGTGCGAAACGGACGACTCCATTTCGGTGCGATCGGTGACATCCTCGCAGCTCTCGGTCATTTCGCGGCGACTGCGTTCCGGCGACATGGACGTACGACTGGCATCCGCCGTCGACTGATTCAGATTGCTCCGGGATTGGGCCAAACGCTTGAGCGGCGTCTGCTGACGCACTGCCTCCTTGATCTTGGAGCCCTCCTCGCCCAGCCAATGCTTCATACCGTGCCAGCCCTTGCGCAGCTTTTCCTTGTTGTGATTGAAATTGATCAGCGACTGATTCTTGTTCTTCAGCAGGGTGATCCTGCGCTCGCTCGGTTTCAACTGATCCCGGTGCGTGCAGTACTCCAGATCGATCTCCTTGCCAAACTCCTCCGTTTCGTTGATCTGCCGAGTCAGCTCCTGCAGTTCGTCAATGGACACAAATAGATTCTGGGGATTCAGGCTCTGATAGCTGACCGACTTAAGGTCAAAGTCGTATTCCCCATTGCTGCTGCTGCAGGCCAAGCTCGGGTGGGAGCCCTGGTGGGAGCTGTGGCGGGAGCTCTGGTGGGAGTGGGAGTTCAGCTGGAACGAGTCCAGGCTCTTGAAGTGCGGCTGTTGGGCCAAGAAGCCAGCATTTGGTATGGGCGACCGTTCTGCGGAAGGCATCGCCATCGGCTGATTCTCCTTGTTATCACTGGCCGCCAGACTGAGTTCGCTGGCTCCATAGAGCTCCGGCAACTGGGGCAGATTCATGTCCACCACCCCCAGTTGGGCTGGGGCAGTCACATTCATGTCCAACGCCATCGAATTGGACTTCTGTAGGTAAACCATAAGTTCGCTGCGATGCAGGTTCTGCACCGACTGCCATTGCTTTTGCTGACGGCCACGTGGTCGTCTCATTGGAACTTGCATGACAGCGGGCACTGGGGTCTTGGGGCGCTTCACCTCCTGAGGAACCAGGAGAACCTCTTTCGGTTGCTGTTCCTCCACCTGGTGTTTGGGGGTCTCAAATAGCTCAGGTTCCTCCAGATCATCTAGATCTTTCTTCTCCTCCTGGTGCGGTATCTCGGATGCTATGGGATTCTCTGAATCCTTGGAATCATCGGGATTCTTGGGATCCATGAGATCGTCGGTGTTCTTGGAATCCATGGGATCGTCGGGATCCTTATGGTTCTCCAAGATCTCTGGCTTGCGAGGGTCCTCACCCCTCTCCATTTCCTGCGGACTGCTCCTGGCGTCCACAAACTCATCCTCATCCGAACTCCTGGGCGTCAGGGTCCTCACAATATTGGAGTTCAGGGCTATGCCGCCGCCAATTTGCTTGAGTCTCGCCTCTGTGACATCGAAGCGATCCGTATCCAGAGTGGTGGTGGATATCAAGATCGGAGCTCCGATCTCCAGGCGATGATCTTCCGAATGACTGCCGGTCATGTCATAGCTACCAGTATGGAGTTTTTTGGGCGAAACAGCATTGTCGCCGGGATTATTGGATGGATTTGGATTCAGGTTCATACTGCCGAGATTACGACGTCCCAGCTTATTTCCCAGCACCGAGTAACGCTTGATCCTGTTCAGAAATCCCTTGGCACCGCCACTGGGAGTGTTGTTGTTGTTTCCGACATTGTTGTTGTTATTGGCATTATCGGCTTGGGGTAAATCGGCCATGGCGGCATTATCTTTGCCGCCCAGCTTGACTTTGTGCACCCGCAGGTGGTTCATCTTGGAAGCCTTTGTAGATTGCTCTTTGGAAGACTCCTTTGCCGGCTTCTTGGAGGGCTCCTTTGGCGACTCCTTGGAAGGCTCCTTTGACGGCTCCTTGGAAGGCTCCTTTGGTGCCTCTTTTGGCTGCTCCTTTGGCTGCTCCTTTGGCTGCTCCTTTGGCTGCTCCTTTGGTGGCTCCTTGGAGGGCTCCTTGGAAGGCTCCTTTGGTGCCTCCTTTGGCTGCTCCTTTGGCTGCTCCTTTGGCTGCTCCTTTGGCGGCTCCTTTGGTGCCTCCTTTGGCTGCTCCTTAGCCTGCTCCTTTGGCTGCTCCTTTGGCGGCTCCTTTGGCGGCTCCGTTGACGGCTGCTTAGCCGGCTGCTTTGACGGCTGTTCGATTTATGACACAAAAAAACATTACACACAAATTCCTATTCGAAAACTTGCACTCTCGTTCGCGTCTATGTGTGCGTGCGTGCGTGAGTGCGTGTACATGAAAGGAGGGAGAGAGGGGAGACACTAGCCGGAGCAACAACAACAACTGCAGCAGGCGAAAGGAATGCGGAAAAGGGGGAGAGCAAACTGAGCCGCTTCTAATCGGAAAGAGAACCTCAAAAAAGAGAGCGAGAGTCGACCTGGAAGTGACGCTTGTCCACGGGAAAGTTGCCGTTCGTTTTTTGGAAACATTAACAGTTATCCTATTTTGTGCTTCAACAAGTTTTTTGTAACAGAATTTTTATATTACGTCTTAAAAAGGTCACTTTAATCGCAGTTCAAGTAATATAAATCGAACACACAAGAACAAATTACTGGATTAATCAAGTAATGTTTAAAAAAAAGTGAATTATCTGGCAGAAACGCGGCAAACGAACCCTACATAAATCTTTTAAAAGTTTTCAATAGAAATTTATTTTTTATGATTGTACACTTGTGTTAAAAGATGCATTCCTTGGCAATTAAAACACACGCCAAAAAGTTTGTAACGGAATTTTTATATTGCGCCTTATTTAAAGATGTACAGTTATTCTGTTTTGTGCCTGAACAGATTATGTGTATTTAACGGCATTTTTATATTACGACTTAAAAAGACCACTTTGAAAGAACGAAATGTTCAAAAAAGAATATTTTAAACGCCTTTACTAGAAATTAGTTTTTGTCTTTTTTAATAAATGCATTCCTTGGCATTTTCAAATACGCGAAAAAAGTTTACAAAACATTATTATTAAAAAAATTTAACACATTTATTTACCACTTTTAAAGAACTTGAAATATTTAATAGCTTCAAATTTAAAAAACATACCTTTACATATCTCCACTTTAGCATCTTGTACACCTTTCATTCAAGAACAACCACGACAAAGTGAAAAACTATCAACGCCCTAATTTTGTCACAAGGCTACTGGAATCTATTTCCACTGGAAGCCCATTCCCCAAAAATAGTTAATGCGCAATAGCAAACCGTTATACCCGCGAATACCCTGTAGTGAGTAACTTAAGCAGGCGATGTTCACCTACATACGTTTGTTTGTATGTACATAAACCACACAGATAACATAAACACACTGAGCATAGAAAGGAAGAGGAGAAGAAGAAGAAGGAATAGGTAAGTTACTCAAGAAAGGTGTTAAGAGTCAGGTGAGGCGAAGGGAATGGGAAGGGAGCAGGGCCTCACCTTCTGGTGACCCGTGACCCTCCCTCCCACTCCACTTTTTCTTCGCCTTGCCCCCTCTTTACCCCTTACTTTTCACCGCTTTTTCCCATCCTCTTTGCTCCAGTTTTTGATGCAGGTAGAGATTACAAAACGGTTTGTGAATCACAGGGTGAGCAGGGGGGCATGCAAAGGGCGGGAAGGGAGGATTGAAGAAAAGAGGAGCAGTGGTTGCTGGAAGGAGAGGGAGAAGAAGAAGAGACGGACGCACAAATCGCTGCGTTGGCCACTGGAATAAATGGAAAAGCAAAACCAAAGACTGCAAAGTCGCCGCCCGTGGCGCCCCCGTTGACTGCGACGCCGGCAGCGACGTCTGCCTGTCTCCATTTCTGTTTTGTGTCTGACCGATCAAGTGTGCCCACACAGCAGCGGTCAAGTTCTTAAAAAAAGTAAGTATTCAAAAAAAAAAAAAAAGTGAAAATATTTCTATTTGCAACGATCTTACATTCTTAACTACACCCTTATTTTGTAATTTTGAAATGCAAATCTGACGAAATTACTAAAATTATTTCCATTAATCCAGTGTAAAACCAATTAGATCAATTTTTTAACCTCTGTTGTGGGGGCTTTTTATGATCACTTCGTTCCGCTGCTGTTCGTCTTCTTCTTCTTCTTCTTCTTCGCCATGCCCAGTCATTCCGTGTCGGTAATTATATAAATCATTTATTTATGAACTATTTACTTTCGAGTTAAGCCCGATAATGGTTATTCTCAACGATTTCTCTCCCTCTCCGCCTCCCTTTTCTAATTTCGTTTACTTCGCTTGAATGAAATGCAAATTGTTTTTATTTTTCCCTGGGCGGATCGTAATTTCTAATTACAAACGTGCATATGTACATATGTACATAGAACGCGGGTTAACTCCGATTTCTGTTGTTGCAATTGCATCCCAAAGTGGAGCAGTGGAATGGGAAAGAGAACTAGAGATGGTGGTGGAGGAGGGAGAAGGGAAAGAGGAGAGTAAAGAACTGGGGACAAGCGACGATCATTAAGCCCCAGTTGTTGTTGGTTGTTGTTATAACTGTACTGTGATGTAAGGTTCGTGCTAATGCTGAGTTCCAACAGTGGAGACTCAAAAACTATAAACAAAAAACCTTTAATTTTCATTTTTCGGCTATAGTGTAAATAAGTATTAATATATACAACTTTAACTAAGACCGAAGAAAAATAAAATAAACATAACTTACAGCCTTATATTATAAGCCTTTAATAGCAGTTTCAAAGTAAAGTTAAATGTAAATAAAAAAAATTAAAATTCTTTTCCTTCTAGGGTTAAAGTTTCCAGCCCCAAAGTTAACTGAAGACCAAACACCAAGTGTTGTTACCAAGTGACCACTGTACTTGCATTTATCTACATATCTGGGTTGCCTTTGTTACACTTTTCGCGATTCAAATGGCCGACGTGCGAAACCGTAGTAAGTAAAACAATTTAATTACATTTTGCACTTGTTTGTTGTTGCGGCTAATAGCATTTGCATCGAATAAGAAGAAGAAGCAGTGGGGCCAAGGAAGATGCTAAACAGGGGGGGTGGGGGGTGTTGGGGTTAATAAGCAGCAGTGGGAGTGAGAGGGGTTAATCGCTACGTCTGCGATATGTCACGTTTCGCGGAGGCAAGTGGAGTGCAATAAAGTGGAGTGTGTGACAAGTCAAAAGACAATTCAACTAATGAGCGAGCTTAGCTGAAAAGCCGCAGTGCTACACTCGACCAAAAAAAGTAATCTATCAAAAATAAGTACATATGTATTTAAAGAGTGTTCCTAACTAATTGATTTATGATAATAATTGTAAACTGTGCAAATTAAGGGTTAATTGGGTAAAGGGTTTTAAGGCAAATTTTTTTAAAATAGAAACTCTTCATTCCTAAAATTATTTTAAGTGGTTCTGGCTAAAAGTTTAAAATTACTTTTAGTTACTCTGGTTACTTTTAGTTGCAGTTTCGAACATACAGTCTAGATATAGTCAATCTTATCAAAGTTTGTTTCGCTTATTCATCTTGAAAAAGAGATGTGAACATATAAGCGTGCACTTGCAAAGATGAAGTCATCTAACTAGAGATGTGAACTCAAATATATAAAGTTAGTCTTCGCATTTTCAAAGCTATGTCCCCATTTTCTCCCAGTGCATGAGGTGGAGCATCAAAAAGAGGTGAGGCCAACCGGGAAGAACCTGCAATTATGGGAGGCCTTCTGCCAACCCATCCGCAGCCCAGGTTTAAAAGTCAAATAACATAAATTATGGCCAGACGGACGCAAGATCATATGGGGGCAGGACCCAGAAGATAAACAGTGAATAAGTCTGCCCGTGGGCCCTTCGGTCTCTATAAATAGAGTTGCCAACTGCGGCAATTGCAGCCACCGACAATTGCGAGTCCCTTTGCTGGGGACCTTCCTTTATGGCAATTTATGATTAATAAAAGGAATTAATCGCGCAAAATGCCAGCGAATGGCCATAATTGGTGGCACCGACTCCTGCGGGGATCGATGGATCACAGTCAAGGTCATCCCAAGGCCGTATCCGCAGAATCCCTCCCAACTCTAGGTACCAAATTGAGTTTGCCCGATCTCTTGAATAGGATCGCTGGATGCATTTCTATTTTCAATTTCACTTACGAACTGCGATTTTCCTTCGACGTTTAACGACAATCGACTGATTTATAGTTCAGCTTAGCTTCAGTTTTTATATCAATTAAAAGTTAGGCCGGCTAGTGCACTGAGAAAAACCACAAGTGAAATTTATGATATATATAGAAATAACAACTGGAATTTAAAAAGGAAAAAAAGTGCCAGCACAGGAACCATAAACAGGTACTTGATAATTACACCAATTAATTTCACATTCTAGGTGCAACCTATTTTCTCTTAGTGGGCCATTTAATCCCCCTTGGAAAACTCCATATCTATATATATACCTCTCAATGCCTGGCACTAAACTACGACTGTCGTGTCGCATTGTATATAGAAATTGATTCCCATAAACAAAATGTGCGAAACTCTCGCGAACACCTGGATATAGTAAACCATTCATGGGATTCGGTTTTCCATTAAAAAAGTGTCCATTGCTGAGGTGCAGATACCTTGAATCGAACCTATTCTGCTCGGTTTTTTTGTTTTATATGGAGTGTGGTTTCTCGCTATCGGGTAGAAGATGTTTCGCGTTGTTATGCGACTATTTACTTGGCATTAATCTCATTCCACTGCTGTATCTGCCAGTAGTTTATGAGGCGCATTTATCTCGTTTAATGTCTAGAACAATAAACAAAACGCTAAGCTTGTTGTTGCCAAAAAAAAGTCGAGAAAAAACTGAAACTGATTTTCCTGCCCTTTACACTTTGCATCGTGTGCGATCGGTTGATCTTTCGATCTCTCTGCGCCAGCCAAAAATAGAGATTTAAAAAAACGAAAAGAAATGGCGATCCGAAAAACCCACCTTATAGACAGTGTCTGTGTGCCGACGCTTTCTGTTTCACTTACGCAAATATTTTCACAACTTATCGCAAGATGTTGCGCCAAATGCGCAAGGTCTGAGACCCGAATGCAAAAATAATTCTCTTAATGAGGCTTTCAATGGCGAACCACTCTGTTTTCTGTTTGCCTTTCCCCGCATTTCTCGCATACCATTCAAATGGCCAAGATTTTTTATTATGTTTAGTTGGGTTCGTCTTTAATCTCTGCTCCGATCCTATCCGATCTGATCTGATCCGACCACCTGACTCGGGTAGGTCACGTTCGCCGAGGTGTCAAGACGAGATGATGGAAGATACAGGTGCAGATAGCTGCTAGATAAACGGATTACAATGAACGATAAGGAAGTTGGCGAAAATTTCCTTATCGAAGGGGTTCTGTTTGAGGAGAAACATCTATGAAACCGCTAAATGTGAGCAGGTTGTTATATAAACTTGTCCAGAACTTGCTAGAGATATTTTCTAGGAACAAGTCATTATAGTTCTACAATCTATCCACAACAAAAATATAATAAATTGTCACGTATCTATGAATGTATTTTATAAATGAAATAAAAAGTTCAGATCTGAATGCTTTGTTGGAGGTATTTTCTTTCCGCCCTCAGTGATCTGGTTATTTCAATTTTTTTAATGAAGTACGTAACTTGATTTTAAAGAAGCTTGTCGTTAAGTTAATTGGAAAACGTCATGTAACTTGAAAAACTCGACTCCAAGAAATTCTTCCTCATGAGATTGTGTTTTTCCTATGTGTAGGTTCATGTGGGTGTCAGGGGTTAACGCATTTAACCCGTTTGGCGGTGCTGCCTCAATCAATTTTTCTTAAATGTCATTGACATGCCGAGCATGCAATGTGCTGCAGCAGGCAGCAAATGAAAGGAACGCGATTTGAAGAGCTTTTATTTAGGTATATGGTATATTTTCTTAGTCTTAGTTTTTTCGCCTCAATTCTTCTGCCGAATGCCGTTAGACCTAGGGTGTTGGCCATCTCGCTCGCACCTGCGCTTTGAGTGCCTGTCAATCTTGTTAGAAATGCGTTTGTTCTTTGAAATGGCCGGGAAGAGAAGAGAGGAGAAGAAGGGCCCCGAAGACTACGCCAGAAGACCCATCAGAAGAGGAAGCACCAGAAGAAGCGGCTAAAAGGCGGCTGCATTTATTTTTATTCGACACTCGGTCATTTTGGGCTTATGCTTTGTTTTTCGTCATTGTGTTGGTCTCTGGAATCCGTTGAATATTGTATACATATGTGCCTAATTAACTATCGAATTACAGTCCAGCTTCGATGGACCGAACTTTTGATTGGCTTGAATCTGAATTGGTTAACCCTTGGAATGTTAGAAATAGTTCTTTATTAACCCAAAGACAGATTCTAAACTTAAAAAAAAGCTATCTAACGACCATTATAAATAGTAAACCTATGTTAATATTGGTATCCTAGTTGGAGTCCCTTAATAAATTTGTATATGATAATTTTCCTTTATTTAAACGACCTATTTTTTTGTATAACAAATTATATTCACATTCTTCTGAATGGCATTTAAACAGGTGATTGTTCAGGTTCGTTGAGGTCCCACTGTGGATCTCTCGATTGACTCCTAACGGTTAATCGTTATTTTAACAATAAAGTTCTGCCAAAAGGCCCCCAACAATTGCCGGGCCATAAATAATTATGCTAATCGCTGGCCAAACCAAAGAACCGGCCATCAAAAGCAAACATTCATGTAAAGATCACATAATATCTATAAATACGTATTCTATACACCGCAGATATCGGGCAGATATATAGATATGTATGTACGGATGCGTAGACATGGTCTATGGTTTTTATTGTGTTCTATTTGGGAATTGTACAAAAATAATTGGCACATTTTCAAGATGTTTAGACTTTGGTTTTCGGCCATTTGGGCTAGTTGTGTATGGAAAATATACGCTGCAGTTGCTTTTGCCAAGGAAAATTCTGCAATTTATTGCGGCCGAAGATAAAGATACATTTGGTGGCGCATCTGACAGATGCGTTTGTCATTTGTCACGGGGCAAACTTGAGCTCATTTTGGAGGCGGCAAACAAGGTCGGCAGATAGCGAAAATTAAAGGAACCCCAAGCGACACTATTTGATTTGCCATAAAAGTGCTAGATACAAGATGCATTTGTATCTTGTGCACTTAAAGTAAAGTAAAGTATCTAGAAATTCCATTTATATTCAGCTTACTTTAGAAATGTATTAAATTGTTTGAATATTTCCGATTTTGGGGTTAAACCCCAAAACTGGTCATAGTTTTTCTTTCTGTGGGGCTGCAGAAAATGAAAACCGTTGCAGGGGGCAGCGACTGTAGCGGCTTCTTCAAAAAAAGATTGCCTTTATCTAAAGGTTCTGGGAGACTTAAGAAGTCACACGGAAACAATTCTCATTCGATTCCAAATCAAATCAAATCAATCAAAAACAAAATCCTAATTCACTGCATTATATTGTTGTTGTTGTTGTTGTTGTTTCTTTGCACGTTTCGCACTCACACGCACACACACTAGCACACTGGAAAAAAAACAATTAGCTAATTTGCGTTGCGCGGTTATGCAAACAACAAATTATTCATATATGTGCGAAAGTACAAGCTGGTGCAAAATTTACCGAAAATAAATAAAAATGTAATTATTGCGGCTAATATTATTATTATTTGTCGACGGCGGCAGCGGCGACATTTACACAAATGCGCGACGTCGGCGTCGGCGACTAAATTTAGAACAGCGACGAGAGAGCGTCGACGAAGCGACGTCAACAAAGCGCGGCAGCAGACTGAGGCTCTCTGCCCGTGGAGCTCTGCCAGAACCAGAGGGCGACGGCAGAGGCAGAGGCACCGGCAGAGGCAGCGCAGCGTGCAGAGCACAGTGGGGCAGGTGGGGCAAATGTGGAGACCGTGTTGGGGATCTCTCCTTAGTTATATTTTACAAACAGGTTCGTCAGCAATCAGCTGATACTGATATAAAATGAACATTAGAACATTAATAATTTACCTCATAAAGAAAAGGGATTTCCTAACTTTGGAAGCTGTGGAGCACGAGTTGGGGATCATTTCTTAGTTATATCTCAGTTTATCAGCAATATGCTGATATAAAATGAATGGCTCTTTTTACAACATCAATAAGTTACCTCATAAAAAATAGGGACTTTAGAAATCTCTATTAAATAAGGAATTTCTTGGTCTCAAAAAAATTGATAAACATTTGAAAATAAAAATTCTTCAATTTAACAGTTTTCTTCCACACATTTACAATGTCCTTTAAGGTTCATTGACTAAAAAAAATTTAAAGGATATCACATAAAACAGGCTCGTTATATGATGCATTCAATAATGATGAACTCAATAATTCAATAAGCTCTCTAATTAATATTTAGTATATTATATTTCAAGTTTAATGGAAATTCCATTTCTTGCACCGAAATCTTCATTCTGACCCACTGTGCCGCCAAAGAGAGAGAGAGACGAGCATAGCCTGTTGCGCCGGCGCGTCGCGACGCAGGAGGATGTTGCACCTGTTCTCATCTCGGTCGTCTCGCCCCCTCTCGCTCGCACACGTTGGCGGTCCGGTCGCTCCTGCTGCGCTGTTATTGTTCTTGCATTTGTTAGTGTAATTGTTATTTTGTTGTTGACAACGCGTAGGCCAAATATTTGAATGTGAGGCTGAAGCCGCTGCGCCGACTTACGGTACACCAATACCAATAGCACAGATAGCGCAGCCGTCGCGTCGTCTGCGTCTGCGCAGCATGCAAAGCGGTACTGCTGATTGGCCCGCCAATGTACCGTTGCACAGTGGGCTTCGGTGATTAATTAATTATGCTGTTAATTGCCAAGTGGCAAAAAGTAGTGATACGGCATAAATTATTAAAAGTGTAAATTCCATGTGAGAGGTTTTTATCTATTTTATTCGGATTCTTTGATTGTCCGCAGAAGTTTCACTTTTGAATTATCAAATATTTAATTGTTTGTTATTTAATCCCAGATAAATACAATTTTTGTAGGTTTATTTTTCCATTTCCTATTTTATTAACAGGTTTTAAATGTGATGCTGAAATTTTTTTTTCTGGGTATACCAATGATTTTAAACATATCCTTAATGCAGTATTTCGTTTTACTCCTTTTGCTGATATTTTTCTTGATCCATTGCATTACTTTTACATGTTATGATGCTGCTTTTTTTTTTGTGCGCCATGGACTTTAACATTGCCTTAATGCAGTATTTGGTTTTATTCCTTCTGTTAATATTTTGTTTGCTCCATTGTTTATTATTATTTATCCATGACTAAATTGATGTATATATTTCAACTCGACTCGTACCACTGTGCACCATCGGCGACGTCTGCGGAGTGATACAATAAATTTGAGCAGCTAAATGCACGTGCTGAGCGGCGACGCCGTTTGACAAGTACCGGTATTATGGATCTTCGGGTTCCGTTCCCAGTTGCATAACCATAACGATAGGCATGCGCTTGAGATTTATGCAGCTTGCCTCTGGGGGGGGGGGATTATAATCGGAATCGGAATCGGTGGAAGCCGCTCACATGAACGCTGCACTTGCCGCTTGACCGACATTCGAGTACGCGAAAACCCGTACTTCGAGTTTCTTCTCTATTTGTTAATTTTTTTTGGTGTCTGAAAATTTAAATTAACCCGTGTTGTGACATTTATGAAACTTACTTGTCTTTGTTGTTGGTCTGGGAGTTTTGCGAGTTGCAGAAAAGTAAACATTAGTCGGATTACCGTTGCAGCGGTGCTTACCTGCAGGTGAGAAAAATATAGAACATAGTTTGTACATAAATTAGTCGGAGGTTAAGTTGGGCTGAGGTTAATGAGTGACTGAAGTTTAATGGGCCAACCAACACCGATTCATAATTAATTCGATTTAAGAATTTAATTTAGCCTAACACCAAAAAAGCAGTAGGCGGAAGATTTGCAAGTTTTGTTTGAAAATATAAAGCTTTTCGAGTTATTTATCTAGTACCAGCACCGACTTGTAGTGAAGTTGCAAACCTTAGTCAGGTTTTGCACCTGTATCGATCAAGTGTTCCCACCTGTGTTCAAGATAGGTTTTTTTTCGAATTTCATATTTAATTGACTTAAAAGTAAGGGGCTCTTTACCTAATAGCTTCAAGAGAAGTAATTTAAATATTCTTCGGGGGCTAGAGATATTTTTGGTGCTTTCAAATCAGTTTTATGTTGCCTAAAAGTAGGCAATAAAAATGTATGTTCGAAAATTCAAGTTCTAGAGATTTCAAATCTTCAGAAATTCATCAGGCACCTTGGAATATGCAACAAAATATTAGTGAGTAATTTCATAGATTTTTTTTAGGGGCTTTGACTAGAAGAACTTTTAATTTCTCAAGGGTACTTGAGCTTCTGTTTTATATTGGATTTATTTGCTAGGTACTTGTTAGCTGCTGCTCCCCTGCTCGTCTAAGCAATTTGTATTTACGAACAACTTGCACTTGGCTGCTAAATGCCGTCGGACAAACGGGTTTAACAATCGCAATCAATTCACACCGAAAAGTGGGGCTTATGGGCCTTATGGGGGTGGTACAGCGAAGGGCAGGTACGTAATAAACTTAATTTCGATGGCATTTCAGTTCCCGATTGTCTTACTAAACAAATGAGAATGTAAAACGCTCCAATGGGTTGATGTCACCGATCCGTAGATCTGATTTGATTTGATCTGATGTGGGATCTGTTTGGTTCGGTACTGTTGTTGGATGGGATGCAATATGGAACCGGATGCAGATGGAACTGGAGAACCTGGAGCTGAGTTCTGGGTTCTGGGTTCGGGTTCGGTCCTCTTACCTGTGCATTACCCATTAGAGCATCGACTTCGGTTGTGGTTTCTAGATGGATCGGTATAACCTCATCCACATTCGCATAGATCGGCTGATCCTCGCTCAGGCTCTGTCTGAGTTTTTTCTTCCCCTCGTTCTTCTTCTTCTTCTCCGGGTGCTGTTCTTCCTCTTGCTTCTGCTGTTTCTTCAGGTGGGCATTGAGATTAATGGCCGACTTGGATTTGGCCTTGGCATAACGAGCCGAGCTCCGCAGACTCTTCAAAACGCCATAGGATCGCGCATTGGCGAGCTTTTCTCCAGAGTAAGAGAAATAGATTTGGAGATATATAGAGAGAGAAAGAGAGAGAAAGTGGGGCGGGGCAGGGGGTTTTGCAGCGCGGAAAATAGTTATGTTAGATTTACTCGCTAAATAATCGTATAAATAGCAATAAATATTTACAATAATGGACAGCAGCTTAAGGACAGTTGATGGTCGAAACTATTGGCACTCTAAAATAAAACCAAGTTTTTGAATTAAATATACTATCTTTAAGATTATTTTGACAATTAAAAAGAATGTTCTCTTAAAAAAGTTCCTTTTTTTTGAGTACCAAAAACATTTCAATTGTTAAATTAAATAAGTCATTTGATAATATTTTAATTTATTATATGGTATATTCTTTAAAATGTATCTATAACTTTAAAGCGAGAGCTTAGTATAATTTACAACAATCTTTTTTCCTGTGTAATAGTTTTTACGACTTCCTCGTTAGCAAATATCCATAAAAATGCCTCAGCATTTCTATTCATAGAAAAAATTAGCAAATAAACTTGTGTATGACCTTGCCCAAAAGGCTTGTACCTTTCAACGAATGCCATTTGATTTTTACCTTTCAATTAATGCAGTGCCATTAACTTGACCACAACTGTATGCCGCAATTACAGAAACATACATACATAGATGAATTTATGGCCCAAGTACCAGGTGAAATGGTGCGGGGAGGGGTGTGTTTTGGGGATCGGGATAGGTTCGCTTTTGGGTCTGTCCACTTTCTATTAACTACGTGACGGCATGCCCATAAACGAGCGAGTCCAAAAAACTATGGCTTCGCCAACTTCCGGCAGAAAAGGCGGGTAAAAAGAGCGTCCGGCGAGTTGGCCTGGCCAAGAGTGAAAAACAAGTGCCAACTGGAGGATGATTCAAGGTGCCTTAATGCATCAGCCAGCAGGGTCTATATATAGACTATAGACTCATGACCGAAGTCAATGTCTGTAGATAAAACCATTGAACTAAGTAGCAGGTAATGACAGTAAATAAATGTTGCACGGTGGAAAAATTCGTTAAGCTTCTTTATTTAATTAAATTATTAGGAAAAACCTATTGATTTAAGAATATTTCTATATATTTAAATTTATAAAAACTATTTTTTAGTGGTTCAATTTAAAGATCGACATTTATTGATTAATGTTTTACAACACTTTTCCTATCGCTTGGTTATTGAAGAGATACTCTACCGATAAGATAAAATATGAAAGAAAAACTGATTTTGAAAAGTAGAATTATAATTTAAACATGAAGTAAAGAATTGTAAAATTAAAAAAATGTACATCTATCGATTTATGTTTTTTGTGAAATGATGCTTCATCGATAAGATAAAATATGAAAGAAATAACTTGTTGGTGAAAAGTTGAAGTTTCTGAAGTATAATTATGATTTAAAAAAGTTGTGAAGACTTGAAAAACATTGATTTTCATAATATGTAGACCTCTGTTTTTTCTCAGTGCAAATACTGCGCACTTGCGGTTGGCATTGCGTTGCAAGTGTTCAATCTTACAAACAAATCACCGACAATTGCTACACCGGCATTGCGCATACGCCCCGTGGCCGCACACATAGATGAGTGCTTGAGCACGAAGTGGGCCATAAGCCAGTTGAAAAACTTGAAGAAAAAAACTGAAAACAGAAAAACCCGATTCTCGACGATTGCCGAAAGAAAGTTCACATGCTCCAGTAGAACAAGTCTAACCAGTCAAGAGTACTGCTGAGTAACAGAAGTAAACAATCGGCAGTTGGCAATTAAATGCAGGGAACACTCTCGGAAGGCGGCAAAGCTAAAGCTCCAAATCAGCTTAAACCCTATATACCCTATATACAAAGGCCCCGCTAAAACTGGCCCAATGCGGAACCAAGTTTGCCGATTTTCAGAAGGGTTGCCACACTAGTTCCCTGCAACAAGTTGGATGAGTCTTGCCCAACCGATCTCATAAAGAACTGGAAATCGGAAACTGACCAAGGTCTTATGTTGCGAAAAACAGACTCATAAAACTGGTCGTGTTAAAAACAAAGGAGAGTTCTATATTTTGGCCTGTTCTATATTATGTCTCTTTAAAGTTGTGTGCCATAGAGTGTTGATAAAGTAGGGAGCGATATAAATACATATTTGGTGGTTTGAACTTGAACTGGGTTGGGTTTAATGACTAAGTAAATATAATTACCCCAAAAGCTGGAATGTGAGTGCTAGAGGAAATTTCACAGTTTGTTACTGCAATATTATTCATAGGAAATTTTAAGGGGGCTATTAAAATGCACACAACGAATAATCGTATATACGAAGATGGGTGGGGTCGAATAAATATTCTGAATAATGCCATTATACTACCTTTAAAAACATGAAAAGATCAATGATAGTTTAGTTTTAAATAGTTCTTTACACATACAAAATCCAAAAAATGTCATATCCTTAAGAAAAGTATTTAACAAATTTACTAAACTCTATAATCAGCCCTCGCTGCGCTGCCTTCGTAATTAGCTGAATTCGCATCTAGTTACACGCTCCGCAGCCCATTCACAATGCGCATCAATGAAATGCAGCCGAGGAGCAAGGTTGCATCAGGAAGTGTCCGAATGAATGCGATTAGACCAGCCAATCCCAGCTATTTGGACCGACAATCGATGGCATTATCTTTATACATATAGTATAGCCATTCAGCAACTCAGTCTCAAGTTCATCGAACTGTCACCGAACAAGTCAGTGGCACAAGGAGAACGACCAGGGCCAATTAAGTCGGCCAATTCGATCATATAATTGGTAATAATTATTTTCGTAACACCCTGAACATTGACTTCGCATGACAAAGGAAATGGTTCAGCTTTATCTGGTTTCTGGCGATGATTTGCCTGGGATCTAATCAATCAATCGCATTTTAAGATTATAAGATTTCTTAGAAACAAGGTATCAATCAATTCCATATTATGGATCATTTCCATCAAATCCATATAGGATTATTATTATGACCATTAAGAATCTTTATGAAACTTTCATTATATGTTAAAGATATTAAACCCACGCTTGATTTTGGTTTTATCAGTAAAAAACTTGTTCAAGATCCAAGTAACTCAATTGAATTCAATTACGATTGTTATAAAATAGCCTTGCTGCACTACAGCAATTATCAAGCTATTGTTACAAAATTTCATTCAATGTTGTAAATTACTGATTCCATATATTGACCGATTTAATGGGATTGCTACCCTCACATCTGAACAATGCATAGTGCTTTTAAAAAGCTCTACATTCTTGTTTGTATTTTTTGAAATTGAAGAAATTTAAATTTTAGGATCAGGCAAATTTTGTTTAATAGCTGTGATCGATTTATATGTTTATCTTAGTCATCTTTAGTCACATATTTTTTTAAGTCACTCAAATATTTTAGGGTATACATTTTTACCATCCATTGTTTTGATGGCTGACTAATTTGAGTTCTCTTATCTCTTATCAACGAGGAACATTTGCGAAGTTGCCTTATCGAACTGCGTTTCGCCACCTTTCAAACGTCGAAAATGGTCGAGAATTATATATTTTTTACACCCATGTAGGTCAGTGTTTTAGGTAGTGACTAAGTAATGATCACGCCCCTTGGTGAATCGTTAGCCGAGTGACAAATGTTTATCGCTAATTTATTTGTATTCTTCGACGCATTTCCATTCAGGTAAATTGTTTATCTATCGCCGTTCGCCGACAACAATTAGAGGCATTCAACAATATTAAGCTCTGAATGCGGATGAGTGTGTGAATGGTAATGACTGAGTCGCTTTGAATGCGAAAATCCAGCGAATTTGTGTGGGTGCTGACTCCCACTGAACTGAAGCGAAAGGTACTCAGTAAACACTGGTGAAAATATCAAAAACAGTAGAGGAGAATGCACAAATACCTAGCATAAAGAAAGAAATAAGATTGTAGTGAAGATTTTAGAGTTCTTTCGGTGATATTATTTTAGTAATCCGATAATAATATTAATACTTTTCTTTCAGCTCGTAAAAAATCATTGTGCTGCAATCAACTAACATTCATCAAATTTTTGACACACAAATGTCGGGTAAGCTGCAATATTTCTTATAGCAATCATTATTTTTCCAATAAAACTTGTTTTACGAGCCTTCATATGACAGATGTATGATATAGTGACCAAAAACTGATTTGTAAATTGCTTGCAGCAATTGATTATGATCTATGTGCAGTTGGGAACTCCATAGATTATTTATTATGGGTAGAGCTATTACTAGTTCACATAATGCTCTATAGAGGGTGTTATAAAGGTGCTATATAGCAAATAATTACGATCTATGTGCAGTTGGGAACTCAATAAATTATTTATTACAAGTAAACTCTACTTGCTCTTCAGAGGGTATTTTAAAGGTCGAGTAACTTTGGATTCGATATGCCGGAGAAAGGGAAACGTCTCCATTGAGGCATTTGAATACTTTCCAACCAAAGCCGCGAAATGAGAACGGTTCTCCACTCGTTCCCCTTTGTTCGCCTCGGTTCGGTTCGGCGTATCTGAAAGATACACTTGTCGCCGTCTCAGAAATACATGGTTTGGTGCTCCTAACGAGGCCAGATCTCCTAGGCCAGAGCCAAAGTCTGAGCACGTTTTTGTTACCGATTTCGAAGTGTGTTTCTTTTCTGTATATTTTCTGCCTTTTTTGTTTTGTATTTTGTGTGTTTTGTATTTTTTGTCGGTGAGTTTTCTTTGGCTTCTCGAATCGGTCACAGTCTGAGTTGAAAATCAATTACCGTTAATGCTGGCCCACATATGCTTGTAGATACAAGTGGCCAATATGGGTTAGCATTGAACGTGACTTGGCTGGAACCAAAAATCAAAGACTTTCGGCCCGATCTTCACAACGACTGAGAAAGAAGCCACTTTATTCAAGGTCAGCGCCCAACCTTTGGGTAGGCATTAGCTTCGGTTTTAGCCATAGTTTTGTGGGTTTTGTGTGTGCAGTCGTTTAAAACGGAAAAAGCTGCAGTAAAATCTGTACAAATATAATTAAAAATGCAGAGCGGCAAACAAAGGTGCAAAAGAGAGCGAAAAATTATTATTATTATTTTTAACACAGTTTGCGCACTCGGGGTTTATCATCATCTCTGCCATTCATCCACCTTTCTGGCCATATTTCTCAGTTTTTTTTCTTTCTATTAAATCTGTCATATCACCAACTAGCTGCGCAAACAAAAACAAATAAAAAGAAATATATGGTAGCAGTAATAACAAGTCGGGGTAATAGCTAATGCCACAACGATCCATTTTAGCGACTTTCACTGTTTAATTGTCGCAAAATTTCCTTTTTTCGCCGGCAATTTGTGTGTTTGGTCAGCAGTAACAACCAAAATATGTATCTTTTCATGCGCAAGATACTTGGAAATTTGTTCAAGTCTTGTTTGAGTATCTTGAACTTACATAAGCCTCGAAGGGATTTTTTTTTCGGTTTTTATGGCTGCCGAGAAAATATTAAAAGAAATCATGGTATGGTATTTGAAACTTTCTTTTGCTTCATGCTGGCTAATTAGACTGCAAAGATTGATGGTAATGACATTGCTTTTTAACGGATGGCTTACTAATCCGTTCTTTATTTGTGATTGAAAAATCATTCTAAAGTCATTACATTTGTGGGCTATTGCTATTTCTGTGTATCATGTGTATTTATAAATAAAAAATAAAAGAAAGACTCTACTTTCTCTTAAAAAATGTATCATGACAGCAAAGATGTTTTTAAAAATGTAACGAAATTAAAAAAAAAATATTATTTGGTGAGGGGTTCGAATAAAAAACCATCATTTCCTAAAATAGTTACATATTTTGTTATGTTGTGTTGTCCAAAAATATATTTCTTGCTCATTAAGGGCACATTTTCCAAATTGCAGTGAAAATGTATTTTTGGCAAAATTGTTTGCAACTAGCGGCCAAAATCTAATCATTTCACTGCAAACCGATTAGCCATTAGCCAGAAATCCAACTCACTGCACACTTATTCATAATTTGGCAACCAGTTTGCAGCTTGCAGTCCCACGAAATCCAACGAGGGAAGCCAATCTGCAGATCTTCAATTGAAATCTAATCTGCTGCTGGGGAAATGCGAGGGTTTTGCAAAAACAAAGAGCCGATTGTTTGCCAGCAAATTGGGCAGGCATTAAATTGCATATGATCACGGACTCAGGCTCAGGTACTTTTCCTCCTTCGGAAACTTCGTTTTCCTTCCGCGAACCTCATTTGAATGAGGTGTACCCCCTTTCTTTTTTCATTTTATTTTTTTTTTCGCCACAACAGCTGCTGTGTTTGTGTTTCTTTTGCGAAACGAGTCTTCGGGGTAATTAAAAGTTCATTGTCGTCGACGGCCTCCAACTTGTTGTGGAAATTATTTTGCAATGTCTGCCCAAAAAGAGCCAGCAGACGCAGCTTCCATAAAAAAAAAAACAGAGCCTCCACACGACTTCCCCATCGTTTAGGTTTTTTCTACTGTTTTTTGTTGATCTTTTGCAGAGGCGAGAGATTTTCCCACATGAAAAACGATGACAAAATGTGTGCAGGAGGCACATCGTCATCGTCATCGTCATTTGCCGGTGAGTGAAAGTTGCTGATGACCAGCTGGATGGATGTGGATACACATGGATGTGGATGAGGCTGGGTATCCAGTGGTTCCATGGCCAATGCCTTCACGACAATCTGCCGTAATTGAACTTGAAGCCGCCACCAGGAAGCAGTTGCCATCCCCAGACTCGCGACTTTGGCTGCACCTGCGCATCGCATCCACATCCACATCCACATCTGCATCTGTATCCACATCCCCAACCCAAGCTCAATCTCAGCCAGAAGAAGATAATCGCTTGGAGCGACGTCAGTCACGACATTTGCGCAATCGGTTTGGGCCAGGCCAACTGGTTTTCCTTACATTATTTATTTTTTACCTCATTTTTTTTACGATTTTTGGGTGGGAGTCGAGCAGACCTTATCGAAAAAGGCGCTAAAAAGCCGGCGCATTTTAATGGATCATAATGCGATTACAAATGCGCAGATAACACATTGTACACAAACCCACATACAGACAGCAAGAAACAAAGGGTTCTAAAAAAAGAAAGTTATACTACTGGTAATTCCGTTTGAAAACTTCCTTCAATTTCATCATTCTACAATAAAACCCAACCCAAAGAATACTAAAATAAATTCCTTAGCCTTAGCTTATCAATTCAAAAACATTCTAATGAGATAAACAAACTGATGTCCCTGGTAATTCTTTTCGCTCAGTGCAACTGTTTCAGTTTTTTCTCAAGTTTGTTGGCTCTGTGGAAAGAAAGCGCTGGCGACCTTCAATTGCAAAAGATATGAAAAAAAATGTTTGATCTAGATTGCATTTAGAAATTGACTTGGGAAATTTTCTATGAGAATGTAGGTGTGTTTTTATTTGCCATTGTCACAACTTGAGATAAAGTGCCAATGGCTTTTAGAATTCTGGGTTAATCGCTGGTGAAAAGCAAACCTTTGAAGTTAAAGCTATAAATCAAATAATTGTAATTTACTTTTATTCACAATTATTTCTGGTTCAATTTTGATTTATAAATTGTGGAAACTATGGTGGAAATATTACAATTTGTGGATTAATTATGCCTGATATTTATGAAACACAATTAAAGTCTGACCCCTAAAGACAGAAAACTATTAAAACTTCCGAAATCTGTTGGGTTTTCTTAATTCCAATTAAATTTGAGGTATTTCGGAATACCATTCACCCCAGTATCTCCAGATTGCGGGAGTTACCGATAAATCGTTGGAGATAAACGGGTTGCACAGCAGAGCCAATCAGGCGATCCATAAATTTCGCCCGATGTTGTCAACGTCGTCGATTGACCCTCTTAACCTGTGTGTTTTGCATCGCTTAATTTATTCAAAAACTGTTCGACTTTCGTTCACCAAAGCGATACGCACTCCCATTAAAAACATTAAAACAAAAAAAATAAACAGCCATAGATTAGCGCAGAAATTTGATTAGGTTATTTTCAGTGACCTCGACACCGTTGGCGCGATGATAAAGCCAAGTTTTCTCGATGCATGTGGAGCTTCGGAAGCTGTCAAAATTCTCAGTCCCAAGTCAATTGCCAGCCGACACAAATGCATGCACTTAAGGAAAAAATACTCAGCAAAACTAATTAGTTTCAACAATTACTTAACCATTTTTATGGTGATTAAGGAGCAAATTTGAGAAGTTAAGATCGCATAATGTATCTAGATCTACAACAATTCGTAAATTTATTTGTACTTTCTAATTATAATTTTTAAAACTATCTATATTTATTCCTTCTGTTTATTAATCATTGAACAAGGCCAATATTTATTTACTAGTTAAACAATATTTCGTTATATTTTTCCAAGGGATATTAAAAAGATTTCAACTTTAATGGCCAGTGTAATTCTTGTTTTAGAATAATTATATGGAAGAATTTATTACCTTAATGTAAAGAAATATTTAATGGACTAAACTAGATCATAAAAAACTAAACAAAAGAAGGAATATTCAAACTAGAAACTAGTTTAGAAGAAATTGTATCAGGAAATTGCCGTAATTCCCCCAATTGCCAACATTAATGACCAGTGTATCCCCATATCGATGGATCGCACTTGTCGAGCTGCGAAATTTCGAAAATCGGGTCAGGCCGAGAGATGCATGGGGCCAATTGGCCAATCGGTTTACAGATGGCCACACAGGTTAATTAACGATTTGGACCAATTAAGAAGACATCGAAGGGGCGGAGGTTGTGTAAAAGGGGCGGGGCAGGGAAAAATTGTGCAAATCGGGTTAGTTAGAGTGCAGGATAGAGTGCGAGTATCTCGTGGATACGTGCGGTAGTTAGTCGGTAATTAGTGCCAATCTCAAGCCGAACCGAACTGAACTCGATCGCAACTCACCCATGAATTATCGCGGAATTGTGACATATTTCGGTCAGCCGCGGGGGAAGAAGCGGGGATATGATACGATGTGATCTCTATATATATGTTTTGTTTTATTTTATTTTAAAATTTAGGCATTTACTAGTTTTGCGCGGCACTGTTTACTTTCAGTTTCAGCTTGCTTTCGGGTTGTATTTTTTTTATTCGCGAATTTCGCAGTTTTGGCTTAATTTATCTAACCAATTTGTTAGCTAAGCTAAGCACACACACACAGACACACAGCGAGTCAGCTGAGCGTAACGCATGTGTTTCAGATACTCTTGTATCTTGTATCTACTACTGGCTGTTATTTTACTTTTTCGGCTGCTTTCTGAGGCGTAACTGCCAGCACGATTACGTGCGACAACTGTAACACTCGCCAGCAAAAAAGGCAGATGCACTCAAAAAACACAGATGCTTTTTGGCCCAGTCATCGGACACTGGAGCAGAGTATCGCCCAGGTAGAAACAATAAAAAAATATAATATAATAATAACGCACAGGTCGGTTGGAAAAGTCGCGGTGGAAAAGCCGCATGCGCGCACGTCGCTTTTCTACGAAACTAAACGAGTCGAGTCTGCGCCGCAACTGAATCTGGCTTTTAGCTTTTGACTCTGACTCGACGATCCACGATCCGCGCTCCCCATTTCCATTTGCTCTCCGTGAGCGGTATTGCTATAGCAATTGCAATCGCAACCGCTCCGCCGGCCGCCGCTTTCTAAACGCTCTCAGCTCATCGCAACACGCTCTCCGCGGAGCGACTGGCTTTCCTTTTAGTCGAGCGGCAGTGCCACAGTGGGCTGTGTGGCGGGTTTTTGTGGTAAAAGTATACCATATACCATCTATGCACTGAAGAATTTATAAATATGTTTTATATTTATTGTAAAAATATACCATATATTATCTATGCACTAAAAGAAATTATCATTATGACTTTTTATGCACTGAAAGAAATTAGAAAAATATTTTGTAAACCAGTTACTGGTCCTTTTACCCCATCTTGCCTTGAAATATTTAATTTCTGTAGCCAAAATAAGTCATAATATTAATATTATAAACATACAATCAAGGAAGAATCAAGCATAAAATAAAAGAGATCAGAGGTCGGTTTTACCCCACCTTGACCTAAGCTTGAACACCTACAGAAGAAAAGATGTAATTTCTATGACAAAAACACTTGAATGTAATAATAATCAATATGATAAATAATATAATAGATATGATATGATAATATGAGGTCGATTTTGCCCCACCTCGATATTTTCGTAAGAGCGTACTTTTAGAATAGGGCAGAACTTAAAATGTTGTTGATTGGTTTCCTTAAATGAGTCTTATTTTGAATAATCAGTAATCAATAATCTATTCTTAAAATTTAAAAACTATATAAAAGATGCATCCCATTGAGCAAGCTTGATTGCAAATTCATTTTGTATTCCTTTTAAAGCTTTTCATGCCATCAATTCAAATCAAAGCTTTGGTTTCTTATGATGACTTCAAAGTCATGGAATGCCGTATATGCATTTGCATCTTTCAGACTTACCTGATGACTTATTTCCAACTAAATGTGGTTTACAAAGTTCTAATATAGTATTTAACATACTTGATAATCCATGACTCAGCTCCGCTCCCCATTAATTTCACATTCATTTGAAGAGGCCCAAAAGTATGCAACAAATTCATTTTGAAAATATATATTTATTTGTCTTCATCAGTTAAGTATAAATGAGTAATACTATAAAAAGAAAATCCGCCCTGAAAAAAAACACCAGTGCATTTGAGTTTGAAATACCAAAAAAAATTTATTTTCCCTTAGGAGAGAGTCAGAAAATTCATATTATAAGCAATTTTGTGGATGATTTCGATTTGTTGTCCAATATTTGGGATTCGCTAGCGTAAAGTGTAGTGTTTTTTACAATTCTTGAAAGTTGCAAGGGGGGATAAAAAGAACTCAGATTTGAGCTTGGGGTCGTTTTTTGCAGGTCCGAGAATTACAATTTTGTTTGAGAGAATAACAGGATAGACTATGGTTCAAAGGATCGATGCGAATGAGTCTTTATAACTATTGTATATTGTATATTGTATATATATATATATTTAATATTCGTGTGTGTTTTTCGTGTATCTGTGTGGTGTGGTCTGTGGGTTTGGGTATCTAAGTATTTAATATGCTGCATAGCCAATCCAGATGCTAAACGTTCTCGACTTTCCCTCACAATAATTGCCTCAAGCGAATACAGTTTTTGTCGTTTTTGTCTTCCGATGTAGCTCGAAAAGTTATTTTTAAATTTTTAATTGTTGTTCCAAGAATTTGGAGATTTTGTTTCGGTTGGTTTTCCTTAAGGTTTGCTAAATGCTATTTCAATTTCTCTTTTCGTTTGTCTTAAGTAAAATTGAATCAAATTCCTCAGTGCTTGCAGTGCATATCGTACTTAGTAATTCATGTTGTCTATGCTTAGTGACTAATTCAAAAAAAGTAAATATATTATATATGTAGGCATATACATAGATTAATGGGGATTATCTTCTTACAATTCTATATAGTTTATAGGACTTGTGAGTGGTTGTAATTTGGTATATGTACACTTTACAGTTAAGCAGTTTAGAACTCTTCGATAGAAATACTTTCAGACTTGCGTAAGTTGATAATTAAATATATATAGTGTATATCCAGGTGGAAGGGAGAATCCAAAGTCGTTGTCTGTTCAAAGTTTCGGGTTGGGTTGGGATTGGAAATAAACCTCAGAATCGGGGAAATCGGGGAAATCGTGGAAATTGGGAAAATCGGGGAGGGTTGGAGTGAAAGTAAGTGTATTTACAGGGTTGTTGGTGTAAATAAGTAGATTACTTGCACACACATAAATTCCGCTTTATTACGTTATCAATATATATGTATATAGTATGCTTACTATCGTACAGTTAGGCATTGTTTTAGGTATATCGTTCCGCCATCCATATCTGTGTATCTTGACCTTTACAATTTTGGTTTGCCTTACTTGCTAGAATTTCATAAGACTTGCGTTTCATTTTCCATATTTTGTTCAAAAGTTTCACTTAAACGATTCGAAAAAAATATATATACTATATATGTATGTCTGTATATATATATATATATAGCATCTATGTTGTTTCTATATACACATCATGCAGTAATTGCCTCCACTTAATGTTAGTGTCCTCTGTTTTGTATCTGTGTGTGGTGTCCTGTGAGGTGTGTCCTTGTGTTTTAGTGTCTTGTGGGTACTCAACTTCTACAAAATGCACGAAAATATATCCATAGTTTTGGCTTGGACCCGGTTGTTCTCCGAACAGCTGTGCATCAGTGCATTAAAGCACTTTGCCCGCCATTTTCTAGCATTTTCTGCATTTTAGCCCTCAGTATTCAGTATTTTGTATTCAGTATTCATCATCCACCATTCATCATTTAGCATTTAGCCCGTCTAGATCGATAGATAGCGCTCTCCTCGATTGACACTAACCTATTCCGCCTTCCCGCGTAAATCCTTCAACTACAATTTCATCTTGAAGCTTTGTGTATATAGCAAGTTGCGAAAACTAACCAAAACGTTTCAGAGTTTCAATTTCCTATCGATTACTGTTTGAAGGATCGTGTCGTGTAGTTTCTGTTCATAGTGAATGGTTTAGGGGGGATAGCAAACTCTCATCGGCCTTCTGCTCGGCTCATTTGCTATAAAATCTCTAGATTGTCATTTGCTAAATATTCCTTACTCAACTCTGCTCTACTGCATATGGATTTCCAGCTGCGACCGTATTTATGGTAGTATTTCAAATTTGGAAATTTAATGTAATACTAAAAATAACAAATTATCTAATACTGATTTTAATTTTTTAAATTAATTTCAATACCTAATAGAAGTATTTGTATCAACACAAAGAAAAATGAATTTAAGAAATTATGACAAACTTCAAACTTATAAAATGCACAGCAATTTTTTAGTGTTGGTACATTTCCAAATTCAAAAGTACATTTTCAAAGAGTTAATTTAAATAAATAAAATAAAACTTTGCAAGCTAATATTAATATTTTACAAAAATATAAAAAAAAAAAAAAAAAGAATTTTTAATTCTTGGGAGGGTGCCGCCACTTTTTTGACCGCAGCTGAGGAATTCATTAGTTGCCGCAGGCGGTGTAGATTGGTGTTACGATTTTGGATTCCGGTTGCCCAATGGGTGGCACGTCTTATGGGGCGTAAAGGCTGCATGCCCGAGATCCCGCAATGCCGGGATCGAAAATCGTTAGACTTCAAGACACTTCAACACCATCTGCGACAGTCTACGATGTGTGTAATTAACTTTTTGTGTTTTCTATCGTTTTTTGTTTCATTTGTTTTTTTGTTCCTTTCCTATTTTCCTTCGTGTGCAATCCAAAACATGATTACCCACGCCGGAAGCGCGCCTCCGAAACCGGAAGTGGCTCACAGGGCGGGATGGGTGGAATGCTGGCGATGGCCCCCACGGGTCCAAACCCAACCCGATATTCCGAAAGCCAGAGCCATGGTTTTCCAGGAACAAAGTCGATTGTGGTTGGACGGGGGGGACAGGGCTGCATTCGGCCAAGCCTCGTAAAGGTGATCGATACTTTATCGCTCTCGGGTGCCTTATCAATCGATAGTGAGATTTATCGCCTATCCTTATTATCGCTATAATCGTTAAAGTTAGCTAAGCCGAAAAACCTTAATGGGGGTCGCGGTAAACGTAATTGACTCGACAATGTGATTATATATATAATTCGGAATTTTGAATCTAAGCAAAAAAGAAAAGAAAATAATTAAAGAAAAAGTAGCCCTCTACTGTACATAGCATACATATATGGTTCGATTAACGGCTATATATAATATTGTGGTATTCCATAGTTACTCTTATTTTGATAAAATATGCATGCGTCTATATTACGAGTGTGTTTCAATGTTCCTTTGTGTTACGAGGGTTTAAAATTAAAGAGTACGGAATATAGTATATTTAGGATAGTAAAGATAGTCTTCGTGGGTCCCTGCCCTGCCCTAACGTCTAGTTTTTTGTTCTTTGAGGGCAGGTGACCTCGTTTTTGGGGGGACGCCATTGATAGGCCCAAGTCTTTCGGTTTGAAACGCTGAGGGTTCTTTGGGGTGAGGGTGAGGTGGAAGTGGGTGGTATATCTATGGGGGTTGTGCATCCTAGTCTGTGCATCGGGACTGTGTATGTGTGTGTGTTTGTCTGTGTCTGAGCGAGATAGCAATAGCCGCTTAGGGCATAGTGCGTCTCTCTTCTAATCGTGCTGCTGCTCTGCCATTTTCTTTCTTTTCTTTTTTTTTGTTTCGACAAGAGTATTCAAGTTCTCACTTAGCCTAGATTGAATTCCAAAAGAAGTACATATGGTAGAATTAAATATATAATTAAATATATAGGCTATATATTTGCTTAGTGTGTCTCTGTGTGTGTGTTTTTTTGTTTGTTTCATTTTTTCAACTTTTTTTTTGCTTAGTTGGTAGTACAGCAAAAGCCCTCTGCTAATATCAATTTCTATTTGCTCTCGTTCTCGCTCTCTAGTCCAATACATTAATTAATTTAGATATCACAATATAATCATTAATCGTTAATCAATCGGTAAGAGAAACAAATAAATTTTGAATTTCTTTTGCAATTGCCGCATTTTAATAATAACATTTCTTGTTCGTTCTGTCGTAAGGTAATTAAAAGTTGAAATTTTTCCGGACAAATGTTGCCTTACGTTTCGCTAGCTTTTCTTTACAATAAATTAAGTTATTATTCCATACCATTGTCCTCTTAAGCGCTAAATGTGTTGAGTGTTCTTTTGTGTATGTATTTTCTTTGCTTAGTTTAAATTAGATTTCTCTCGTACATGCTAACACAAAAAAAATTGCCAAAAAAAAGCCATTATCGTTATTATGATTATTATTATGTATGTATGTTTGTCGTAGGATGAGTGCCTCCGCTGAATGCTCCACTTAGATCCGGGTCTGCACCTCCAGATGCATAAAACGCTCTTGACCTAAGCGAAACCGGAACCGGAAACCCGATGTGAGTTTGTGGAATGTTGAGTTGATTTCGTTATCGATTTCGATTTCGATTTCAGTTTCGGTATCGATATCGTTCGATTTGTTTAGGTAGATTGCATTATATACAATACATTGTCCATTTTGGTTGTTTTTGTTGGCATAGAAAGGAGAAATATGCAATGTTAAAATTACGTTCTTATTTTGGATTACTGATTTACTGATATTCTGGTATTTGTGGTTATCAATTTTTTTCACTGCTTGGTTTGGTTTTGTTTTGTCTGGTTTTGTCGTGAGTTAGCCCCACGGCGTAAGCTTGTCTAGCGATTGCTCTACTTGGAGGGGGCCCGCGGCGATTCTACAGTCGTCTAGTCGTCAAACCAGCCGTCGACGGGCTGCGTCCCCTGCTTACTTTCCAAATACGTGGCTATCTCGTTGGCGTTCTTGTTGAAGGCCACCATCATGGGCGTGTTTCCGCCGGAGTCCATGCTGTCCAGATGAGCGCCAGCGGCCACCAGCATTACGCAGATGTCGCGACGGTTCTGCTCGGCGGCAATGTGGAGCGCCGTCTGTCCACTTTAAGAAAAAAGTACGGAAAGGGGGTTCTTAAAAGGTCTTAATGGCGTTTTATTTTTAGATAAGCTTTATTCACAGCCTCAAAAAGCTGTTTTGTAGGAAAAAAACAGCCCCACACCGAAATGAAATAGATTTAAAACGGTATAATAAGATACTAGTAAAAAGGTGACCCAAAACGTTGCTTTAACATCTAATTACTCTGTGTCTTTGTTCCTGAAACATTTTGTGCTTTAATTCTTTAATAATCTGCATTAAAAATAGTATAGCCTTTTCAGTTCAATATTGGATAATTTTTTGATCAATAATTTCAGAAAGGTGACCCAAACCTTCATTTTAAGATTCAATAACTTGACTAGCTCTCGATTTCAATAAGTCTTACTTCTATACTTGTATAGTGCTTATTTGTATATCCCTTTTAATGTTAGTTTTTTTTTTTTTAATTCGATGGTTTCTCAAAATGTGACCCAAACCTGAGTTTTTATAGGATATAGCTTGACTAACTGGATCCCGATTTCACAGTGGCGTGTCTCTAAAACGTTGTGCTTAAATTTTCTAAGGGACTTTGGACTTACAGCTCCTTGTCGGCCATGTTGATGAGGCGTCGTGTGGCGCTCGCGATAATATATTTGACAATGTCCCTGTGGTTGTATTTGCAGGCGAAGTGCAACGCCGTCTGTCCGTTCTTGTTCACTGACTGTAGTGAGTATCCTTGTTCATGTAGTGCACGTAACTGGAAGAAAGTGGGGATTACGGGTGTTAGAAGGACACCAAATATATATATATACATCTTGAGTTTCATCTAGTTATTGACTATATAAATATATGGAACAGTTAAGCTACCATATTGAGATCGCCGCTCTGGGCTGCTAGTAGTATGGCATCGGAAGTTTGCTCCAGTATAGGGCTATTATTCAAATGTTTGTGTGTGTGGGTGTGAAAGAGAGCGTTTTGCGTGTGTGTTGGTATTTTTGTGTGTGCATGGAAAAGTAGAGAAAATAAAAAAAGAAAATTCAAGCATCAGTTCGGTTTGAAATTCATTCAATCGATTTAAATGTCGATGATACGAGAGATACGAGATAAGGACGGAAAGTGGGGCAGACAGAGAGATAGAGAGAGAGACAGAGATAGCCACAACAGACAGTCTAGTAAGTAAAGAAAGAGACAGATAGTTATACGGAATACCTGAATCCATAACCAAAAACATCTTCGTTGAAACTGAATAAACGATCTTTGTTGCTGCATGCAGGATTTATTAATATAGTACAGAAATTAAACAAAATTAGGAAATTATTTAAATTATATGAATAAGAAGAGGGAAAGATGCTGAAGAGAGAGAGAGAGACAGGGGTATAGAAAAGGCGAGTGTGTGAAAGATGGAGGATATACCGTGGACCATGATTGAAGCGTGTGAAAGAGAGAGAGAGCAAGCGAAAAATATTGCCAAACGAGCAAGACAGCTGCGAAAAGCCAATTGATAAGTCTGGCAGAGCGAAAGAGAGAGAAAGAACGCCCTATGTGAACAAAATTTTTGGGTGTCTAGTGCCGTCTCGCTCGGTTTGGCTTTCGGTCTCTTTTCATCGCATGGAGTTTGAATGAAATGCTGAACGAATCGGGGGACGCTTTTTTACCTCTTCCACTTCATCACTTTAATGGGCTTGGAGCCAATTTGCAAATCCTCATCTTTGTGTATTTTTTAAATGTTTTAATTTGTGTGGGTGTGTGAGTTTTTTTTTGTGTTTGTTTAAATTCGAAAAGAAATTCACATATTGTTAGTAAGCCATTGAAATAAGTGAATCACAACTAAAATCATGTACACAATAAGTCCAAACTACCAGGCATTTAACCTACCCGCATATATTTTCAGTGTCTTTTTTGTATTATTTGGTTGGTTGGTTGTTTTGGTTGGGATGGATGGGATCGTAACGAATACGGTTTGGTCCTTGCTACGGTTAACTGTTGATGTAAGCCGGGATTATATACCAGATAGTACCAGGAGTGCTCGTATTTAATGCTCTACTCACATGCGATCGTGGCAAGGACTAAGCTGTATTCGGCTCCTCGCAATTAAGACTTTGACTTTTAGCGGATGTGGGTGTGTGTTTATGTGGGTGGCGCACAGTTGCGGTCGAAATAATAGCATCAATGTGATAGATCTACTTTTTACTGCGTTAGGACTTAGTATTTTTATAGTTAAAAATTTTTGTGAAACATTTTAATGTATAAAGAAATTAAAATTGAAAAGAAATACTACATTCAGTAGATTTGAATTTAATTTAATTTCTTAAATGGCGAATTTTTTTACTGAATTATGATGTAGGATATACATATTTAAAAAAATTGTTTAATTTTAATTTGCTCATAAAAAAATGGGCAACCAAAAAAACATGGTTAATATATTCTTAAAAAGTTAACATTTTTTTTACCATATTGTAATCTTGTTTTTTGTGCTTTATTTATACCGCAACTGAATTTCTCTATGTGTAATGTTAGTGACTAAACATGCGAGACATAATTAACCATAAACAAAATGCAATGCAACGAAATTAAGGTGGGCCGACAGCAACTGGCACCCCTTCCTCCACTCCGCCCCCCCTTTGGGATCTTTGGGACTTTTGGATTTGATGGATCGAAGTTATAGGGATCGGGAACGTGGGATCTCCAAGATCGAGGGAGTTCAGATCTCGACGCGACGCTTGCGGAAGTGGAGGTGGAGGAACATGCGCCTATCTTGGTACGGCAGCTGCTCGGCCACCTGCTGCTGGTAGAGCGTGAGGCGCTCCTGGAGCGGCAGCTCGTCGGCGGTACGAGCGGTCTGTCCCGCCCCCGGTGGCCAGCAGCCAGCTAACAGGATCCTACCGGTGCTGCCCGGGCCGTGGCCCTGGGCCTGGTCCAGTTGGCGCCTCTCGTTCTGCGCCTGCCGCTGCGAGAAGGCCGCGAAGGAGCGCTCCTGGTCGGGCGTCTGCGGCATGGTGGCCGCCTCGTGGTCCAGGATATACAGCTCGTCGATGGCGATGTCGCAGATGTAGTGCAGGTGCTCCTGGGCACGGTCGATGCGGAAGTAGTGCTCCGCGGTGCAGGCTAGAATGGGGAAATTGAATATATAGTGCAAGGTTAAGATAATATATAAAATCAAATATTATTTTATAAGGTGCTTTAAGCTTTTATTTTAAACTCGTATCAAAAATATTTGAATTCCGTGGAATTTAGCTACTACAACATTTACTGGTCTAGTTGATATCAAAGGCCATATGACACTGGCTAAGCTAGGCCACTGACTGGATTTTTTTTTTAAATGTTATATGCTAAATATGCTAAACAATTGTTATGTAAAATATCCTAATTTTGATATCAGAGGAACTCAAAGAACGTGTAGGCACAGTTAAAAAGCTATAACTTACAGTCGATGAAGCACCAGTCCTGGGAGACCTTCGGATAGGAGATGGATTCCTCGAACTTGGTGTTGAGCATGTTGCGCACATGCTCCAGATCGCACTGGGATTCGATTTCGATTTGGCCAAGTTTGTTGGCCAGTTTGCGGAGCATCTCCTTGTCATAATGGTACTGCTCGTACTGTTGCATGGTGACGCGCAAGATGTTCAGCTGCATCTTCTCTAGGGGGTTTACCCTGCAATGAAGAATTATATAAAATGCATCCATATAGATGTGATGTATCCTACTCACTGGACATCGCCGCGTCCGTGCTTCCTTTTGGACAGCATCAGCGCCTTGTTGAGCAGCTCGATCTCGATCACCGAGGGCTTCACGCGGCAGGCCTCTCCGTCCACCTGCATCGGAATGGTCCGCTTGGTGATGATCCGGGCCTTCCGGCACTGGCAGATGCAGGTGCCGTGCATCCCCGCCTGCAGCATGGGCAGCTGGTAGGTGGTCAGTCCGACCACCTCCATCAGGCCGTCGTCGATCGAGGGCTTCGAGGCGCCGAAGGAGTCGTTCCACGGGTGGGTGCCGCCGCCATAGCTGCGGGGATAAGGGGGAAAGTGGGTCAGGTTTAGGTATAATCGGTAAAATTGGGTGATATAGGATAGGATTCATAAAAAAGTATAAATATTTTAAGACCTCAAATAAATGAAGACTACAATTAATTATGAAAAAACATCGTAAATCATCGTTATAAAATGATATGGAATATGTAATAATATGGAATTTAAAGGAAATATCCTTAAGGATCTACTGAAAAACCCCCCACCTGGGAATGTTGAGGAAGAGGACGGCGTGGCAGCCGGCGTCGCGGAGCTTTCCGGTGAAGTCCTGGCCGTCGCACTCGAGCGTTACCCACTGGGAGAGGTTGCGGTACTGGCGCAGGATCAGATCCTTGCCGCCCATCTGGCCGTAGTACATCTTGTTGCGCAGCCGGGAGTTGAAGCGCTCCGGATGAGCCTCCCGCGCCTCGTGGAACTCCAGGGCGATATGGGCGTCCACGCCGAAGGAGAAGTAGTTGTTGATGACGTTCAAGGGGACGTTCGGCTTGCTGCGGTCCACATGGTCATCGGTGACGTCCTCGTTGGGCGTGACCTTCACCCGCCAGCGGTCCATGAGCACGCACTGCGACATCCCGATCTCCCTCAGCACCTTCCCGATCGGCTCGTCCGTGTAGCCCTGAAAGAAAATAGACTTTAAAATTATTGAGGCTTTTAAGTGCAATGATTCAAAGCAATATTAGGTCTAGATTACACTAACTACAAATGAAGATCAAATATAAATAAATGCCTTCAAATTTGCTACGGTCGCTGAGAAGCTTTAAGTGAATTCTTTAGAACCAAGCGTTTTTTACTTACAAACTACATATATATATGGCAGAGGGAAATTCAGGATTTCAGGATTTTACTTGCAATACGGAAAAGTCTGGAAAGCCTTATTATTATATGAAAAGTATCTTTTGAAATAAAAGTAGAAGTACTTACTGTTGATTTATATGTATCACATATGATTCTAACTATTTTTTTCTTATGGGAAGTCATGAAGTGAATTGGCACCATTACACCATAATTGTTAGTTATAGACCAGCATTTTTAAATGCTTTCTTTGCCATAATGGGAATAGGATTTTGTGAGAAATGATTTTTTTTATCTTTAAAAGATTTTATTATGTGGCTAACAAGTCGTATGGGTAATTTTTACGTCTTAAAAGCAAATTGCTCATACGTTCTGTTGCCCTCGCCCAAATTTTAAATTTTTAAGACAATTTGTTTTGTGGCTCTCCGGCTAATCAAAAATAACTGAATAACTGTTTATAATTTATATCTAACTAGTGTGCTTAAATTCTATGAATTTATACCACTTTTTTTCGTGTTGCTTTAAATTTATAAGTGGTACAAATTATTATGTTCTTGCGTCACAAAAGTCAACTTACCCCTCCCCATCCGAGGGCGCGAGCGAGATCATTTCCGGTGCCCAAAGGAAGGACACCGACTGCCGGAACTGGTTGGAGTGGCGGTTGGATCTGGTCCAGGACGGAAAGGACCCAGCCGACGGTGCCGTCGCCTCCGCACGCCAGGACCCTCAAATTGGGCGCCTTCCGGAACATGTCCAGGCTGCAAGGAAGGGAAAGGGGATTCAGTAAAGAAATCAATATTTAGAATCACATCCTAAGCTCACAGAAGTACATTTTACTTTAATCTAAACAATTCAACATCAAGATTTATTTGGCCGATTTCTCAATGTCAAGTTAACGTTTGTCACTAAGTTAAATTGCTGTTTCTCAATAGCAGACTGTGTCTCAGATTGAGAAAACGAATTTTTCTTTTCGAACAATTTAACTTCATTTTATTTTTCTTCGACAGATAACTAATGAGAAGGGTAACTTTTCTAGTGGCTTATGTAGGTTTATTTAGAATAACTTGGTTGGATGCCTTTACACTGTTAAAATGATAAATATAAAGTTCTGCACTCGTTCTCTTCTGGTGGTTGGCTAAGACTAACTAAAGTATCTGGTAACACTACCAAAAGAAAAGGTGTGTTCACACTATCGAAATATCAGTACACACTAAATTAGGCCATGTTCACACATGCCGCAAAGGTGTTATTTCCATTAATAGCGTTTAAAAAACCAATTCATCAATACCTGACTTCTTTTCTTATATATTTGAGCTTTAATATGAAATTAATTTGTACATATTTCATTGTGCTCCTTAATAATCGAGTACTCACCCCATTTTTGGGCCGCCCTGCGTAAGATCGAACACCTGGCGCGGATTGAGCAGATGCTGGAACTTGCCCAGCAGCTTGTGGCCCTGATTGCCGCCCGACTTCGGATTAATAAACACAATGACCGGGATTACCTCCGGCGACGGAATGGGCTTCACAATGAACGCCCGCGGCTCCTTCTTTTCCTCCTTGCCCTTCTGCCGGCGCTGCGTCTGCTTCTTGCTCTTGCCTCCGCCCCCGCCTCCGCCTCCTGCCCCGCCGCCCCCCGAGCCACCTGCCCCGCCCCCTGACCCGGAGGCGGCATTGTTCTTGTTGCTCACGCGTATCGAGGACTTGAAGTTGCCCTTGGTCGGCAGCTTTACAATCCACGAAGGCGGCACAATGATGGGCGCATAGTTGCCTGCAAGGGAAAAAAACGGGATGAGTGGGGGTTTTACACTGGCCAAAAATATATAGGTGTAGCATTTCAATTTTGAATACTTTTTTTGTCAAAAATCATTCCCTCAAATAAGTAGTACACCAGAATTTTATCAATTTTTAAATCATTGCCTTTTTTATTTTAGAGCATTTATTTTTATTTGGTAAATGTACTTTAAGGAGCAGATAATATAATTTATAGAAACGTTTTTAATCGAAGATTGAGTGCGAATTTTTTGAGTGTATAAAGGGGGCGGATGGTTTTGAGTATATGATTTTTGGGTCCTGCTAAATTTGGCAAAGCAATTTTACCACATTGCTAAAAAGAAGTTCTGACCACTTATATTAAATTCTAATTTAAAAATACAAATTTGCTGATATTTTTAATATTGCAAAACTTAACATGTTTAAAAGTTTAATGTTTTAATTTGCAAATTGCGAATATTTTGAATTTTTTAAACTTTTTTATCGAATAATTATTAAAACTTAGAGTGATTTTCGTTTAAACTTTACTTTAAATTTTGAATGGTTCTTTAATACTCCTTTATAAAGTAGTGCCTTTCGTCACAGTGCCTAAATTTTAGGCCAGTCCGGAATCCAGGCTAGAAAAGCTAATTGTGTGTGGAAAGTGCTTGAGGATTGCCAAGCGACTAAATTTAATTTGCCACCTTCGAGGGAGAATCAAAAGGGACCTCTGCTGCAGAGTTGTGGCTGGGAGTTGAGGGCCCAGCATAACTGGCATACCAAAGAGCAATTATGAATGCCGCAACTTGGCCAACGGACCTCAAGAGGGGATCCCCACGCCAGACAAAGCAACCCCCACCCCCAACTGTCTCGTAATTCTATTTCGTACTGTCTTGTCCTCATCTCCGGTCGTGTCCTGTCCCCCATCCCCCTTAAGCCCCGCCTGTGTCCCCTCCCGGGGCGTATACGTAATGGTCTCTGGCAGGGAGACCAGAGTGTGTTAACAAGACGCTCATTGAGACACTTTATAAAAACGTGAACAGGAAGCGGTTAAGTCGCCCCAGCTGCCACATCATCATTGTCATAGTTGCACATAGTTGTCGGGAAGGGAATTTCTTTTTCTTTTATATAAACACAGCAGCAGAGGTAGTGGCACGTTAGCATTTGCTGCAATTACATTAATTGAAAATAGTTTAGTTCCCTGGACATTTGAGGGGCAGTTTATGGCATAAAATGTTGCAAAATGCCACAATTCTCTTAGAAATCCACAGGATAAAAAAAAAAATAGGTGGCTTAGCTGAAAACCAAGATACTGGCTAATTCGTTAGGGATTTAAAATATATTAAAGCATTTGCTTTGGATTTCTTTCCATTTCATATTATTTGACTAACTTTTTTTTGGAATGACTTCAGGGTTTGAAAAAGGTTTCTTTATTTTAAGCAATGACTTCATTTCGGTTGACTTTTCTTGGGAAACCCACAAATTGTTTTACAGAGAACGAAAAAAGGTTGGCCAGTGAAACTATGACACAATTTGTTTACCTACCAAATAAACCGCATAAAATACAAAATGGGACACAAGTTCAAGAGGTCCAAAGGGTTACGGGCCATTCCGAGTTTTTCGTTTGGGTTCGGTTTTAATGCACAAATCTTAATTAAGTTAACGGACCGCAATTTATTTGCATGCACGTCACGTAATTAATCAAGGGAAACGGGGCAGGGGCAGGGGCGTGGCCCTTTCCCGGAAAAGGGGGGCAGACGACTCACCCAGACGACACTCCTCGCCGATTTTGGACTGGTTAAAACAGGCCTCCTTGTTGTGGTAGACCTCGTGGCACCAGGCACAGGCCAACGCCACAATCTCCTTCGACCCAAAAAGCTTGCTTTGCACCGCCTGCTTCATAGGAAAGAACTAAAGGGATAAGTGCATAACAAGTAATATTATAATAATATCCTATTTCCAGAATCACTCTATATATTTGTCACACAGAAAAACAAACGAAGGCAGATTAAACGCACGTGGCTAAGAAATGTAAAATTAAATTGAATCAATCAGGTTTACTAAACTTAGTCTTAAGAAAGAAAGGTTACATTAAGTTATAAAAGGTATATTAAACATAAGCATAAATACCAAAAATCGAACATTTTAAAAAATAGGAAACTATTTTTTATTTTTCTTCATAGGCATTCTACTAAACTTTGATAAGTCTTAATTTTGTATTATACTGTGACAAATGAAGTAAATTTTTTAAATATTTATTTACGGATTTAGAAATATCTTGATTTCTGGAAAATCTAATATACTCTATTTTTTGGTCGTATAACAAAATGTAAATATTTTTTTAAGGATTTTTTTGTTGGGTTTTTTAGGCTTTAAAGCAGTGGTCGGCAGCGGCCTATCTAGTGAGCATAGGGAAGTGTTCTGCCCATCCTCTGCTCGCTCACGTATAACGTACATGTTCGTGTGACTTTGGCATGGGTCTTCGGGTAATTTTTTTCTCAACTTCGGCGCGCTTTTTTGTTGCTGCGGCAGAGGATCTCAGTGCAAAGCAGAGAAACGTCTCGCTTCAGCACGCCGCGCGCAAACTTCGTGTTTGTTACACTCACACTAATGCAAGGCAAACTTGTGATGGTATGTGTGTGCCGACCACTGCTTTAAAGACTTAGCCAATATGATAAAGCGATATCCTATTCATTTTCTTTCATTTATTATGAATTTTTGAGATCTCTCCAGTTTTTTAATATTATTTAAAAAAAAAATTGAAGTACGAAAAGGATAAGAAAAACAGAATAAACGTGTGTTTCGTGTGGGGGTCCAACCTACCTTGCCGCACTGCTTGCACTTGCCCTTCTCCAGCTTGCGGTGCACCCAGTGGTGGTGGGTGGTGGTCTGCTCCCGGTACTGCCGGATGCCCACGTCCCGGTAGGTCGGCTTGCAGGCCAGGGTGCTCTTCTCGTTCACGAAGGGAATGCAGTTGTGGTGCGCAACCAGCTGGCAGGCGGAGCACTTCATCCGCTGACCGCTTTTCTGAAATGGCACGGAAATCCAGGGAGAACTTGAGATTTTGTGGAGCTAACAAAGATATCCCGCATTCCGCCTTTCTTTCAATGGGTTTTCTTACAAAAGATTAAATATTGAAAACTATTCACTGGTACATTCACATATTACTGGGAGTTTCAAAATAAGTTTGCTCCTAAGAACACATCATATACATGATATTATATATAGCTACTATAGTAATCTTTTGTGTTTCAATAAAAATAGCACCACAATCCGCCTTCATTTCATTGGCCTTTCACATAAATATCACCACAGTCCACCTTTAATTCAATTCTTTATATTTGAAAACCATTTAATGGCATAAATACAAATTTTAAAATATTTCTGGGTATCGAATGTATATATATAGATTCACCATGAAATTAATTTGGTTTTGCGTCTCCCTTTTCAGTACGCTAATTAGCAAGCTCCCGCATTTCCGCAAAACCGCATTCAAATGACGGAACTGCAACTGCCGCTTGCATTCTCGAAAAACAAACTTTGACAATTAATTGCTGAGGTTTCTGCGGTTTGACAGGTGAAAACGGATTCCCGTCAAGGATTCGCAACAGCCTCAGGTGTCTAAGAGTTGTTTTCCCTCGGAAAACTAAAGAAAAACCTTGTGCAGTGCAGCAGATAGTTGGCTTCTCTTTTCGAATCTGCCTTTGTTTAATTGTTCCCTGCAAACTTTAACTGGGATAACTTTGCATTTGGCCTTGAGCTGGCTAATTTCTCAAGTTTTTCAAGCAATCTAGGGTTAAACTGGTGCACCAAAATGACCATTTTAAATTAAAAAGGACCCCACACTAAATGATTTTTGTTTTAATTAATACTCTCTGATAGTCCTTCAGTGGACTTCTACCCTAAATTGTATTGATACATATATCAATACTAATATTTTTTATAGGTCTTATTATAATACGAGCTCAACGAGGAATGACATTTCTCAATCTATCGATTCCAATCAATTTAAGGAACATTTATTTTTTGAGCCATTTTCGCTTTTTTTATAAGGGGGTACATCGGTTATTTTTGGGATTCAGATTTTGGTCAAAAATACCCATTTTTTAGTGGTTTTCAAGTCGTAGTTTAGCCAAATCAAGGCCTACAGCTAAACGACCGACTGTTTTGAGCAGCTTGCTTCAATTGCTATCGATCCCTATCACTTTAAGGAACATTTATTTTTTGACCCATTTTCGCATTTTTTATAAGGGGGTACATCGGCTATTTTTGGGACTCAGATTTTGGTAAAAAATACCCATTTTTTAGTGGTTTTTCAGTCGTAGTTTAGCCAAATCAAGGCTTACAGCTAAACGACCGACTGTTTTGAGCAGCTTGCTTCAATTGCTATCGATCCCTATCACTTTAAGGAACATTTATTTTTTGACCCATTTTCGCATTTTTTATAAGGGGGTACATCGGTTATTTTTGGGATTCAGATTTTGGTAAAAAATACCCATTTTTTAGTGGTTTTTTCAGTCGTAGTTTAGCCAAATCAAGGCCTACAGCTAAACGACCGACTGTTTTGAGCAGCTTGCTTCAATTGCTATCGATCCCCATCACTTTAAGGAACATTTATTTTTTGACCCATTTTCGCATTTTTTATAAGGGGGTACATCGGTTATTTTTGGCATTCAGATTTTGGTAAAAAATACCCATTTTTTAGTGGTTTTTCAGTCGTAGTTTAGCCAAATCAAGGCTTACAGCTAAACGACCGACTGTTTTGAGCAGCTTGCTTCAATTGCTATCGATCCCCATCACTTCAAGGAACATTTATTTTTTGACCTATTTTCGCATTTTTTTTGGGATTCAGATTTTGGTCAAAAATACCCATTTTTTAGTGGTTTTTCAGTCGTAGTTTAGCCAAATCAAGGCCTACAGCTAAAAGACTGACTGTTTTGAGCAGCTGACAACCTATGGTAACTATCTACATCACTTTTCGGGAAATTAATTTTTTGACCAAATTTTTCATTTTTTGTAAGGGGTTACATCATCTGTTTTTGCGAAAAATGGGAAAAATAAAGATTTTCCAGGTTTGAGTGCCAGTGGATTGCAATTTAAATTACGATCTCAACGAGGTATGACATTCGTCGATCTGACGCTTATTTTTTTTGTAGCAGCCAAAAAACTAAATTTTTAGGGCGAAAAAATGGGATTTTGATTTTGTCGATATTCAGATTTTAGTCAAAAATACGATTTTTCTTTGCAGTTTTTCAATCGTAGTTTCGTCAAATCAAGGCGTACAGCTACAAGGCCGACTGTTTTGAGCAGCTTGCAATCTATACTAACAATTCTTATCTCTTTCCGGGGAATTTATTTTTTGACCAATTTTTTCATTTTTTGTAAGGGGCTGCATCATCTATTTTTGCGAAAAATGGCAAAAATCAAGAATTTCCAGGTTTGAGTGCCAGTGGATTGCAATTTAAATTACGAGCTCAACGAGGTATGACATTCCTTGATTTAACGTTTATTTTTTTTTTGTAGCAGCCAAAAAACTGAATTTTTACGGCAAAAAAATGGGATTCCGACCAAAAAAGCCAAAATACTGATTTTTATGGCGGATAAGGATTCCGACTTTAAACCAAGTTACTCCCAAAACCTAATAACTTAAATTTATTTTAATTAAGATGATTATATTTTTCAATATTTTCTTTCATAGGAATTTGGTTATTTAACTAAATCAATATTTTCGGACTTTCTATTTTGACTTTCTACCTTACCCCAAAATATCTTGTTGTTTGATATAGGTCTGCCCCAAATGACTTTTTTTCCCCTCGCCGATTGACAATGAGCCTGATAAAGTACACATTCTGTTGCTTTTGGCTGAAACAGATGACACGCCCATCGTTCTTGATCCAACCCCCCACCTTTTTCTTTCTTCGCCTTTATTGCGTGAATGTTGGACAGGCACGCAATAAATAAATTACGCTCACATGTAACCTGCCCTTCAATCCACGTTGCCCTTGTGTTAATTGAATTGAAGGAATGTTCGGGGGACATCCATGGTATTCACACTATGTGGCAAGTATTCATGGGTATACTCACAATGCACTCCTCATTCAGGCAGCAAAGATCGCCGGAGGCCGAGGTGGGCTTCCAGTAGTGCTCGCCCTGCACCGCATTCTCAGTCCAGTCGGGCACAATCCTTATGGGTCTCCGGGAATTGCTGGCGGAAGCGGTACGCCTGCTTGGAGGAAAAGAGATGAGGGGTCAAAGGTTAGAAATGATTTCTTAATTGCTTTGGATATCACACCCCTATGCGTTTGATAAGTACTGAGAATGTGACCCTCTAAAAATGTTATTTCTGGTTCTTATTCAAAACAAAATTCTAAAATATTTTATGTATGTTATGTTATGAAATAATATTTTCTCTATGTGATGAACGCATTCTCACATTTTTGTATAACGTGGGAATACTCTTGCCTACTCATTACAGTTCACGATTTAAATTTAAATTTAAAAACCACTTCGTTTTCAATGTGATGAACGCATGCCCATATATATTTTTTTAATAATTTTTGTAGATTCAAGCGTGGGGATTCCCCTGCGAAATATTTCAGGGACTCACCTCTTCCGCCGCCACGCCCCCAGGGAGTCGAGCTTCCGCTGCCGGAAGGCCGACTTCCGCTGCATGCCGATTGAGGAGCGGCGAAAGCGCCGCACTCCGCCCGCTCCCGCCGCCCCCGCGCCGGCCACGCCCCCCGCCACACCGCCCCCAACCGATCCGAAACTATCGCTGCGCTGAAGTCGACGTCGTGGCGTCGGCAGCGACGGCGACAGAGGCTGCGAAGCCGACGTGTTGCTGCCGTCGCTGTTGCTGTTGCTGATGCAGCTGTTGCTGTTGCTGCTGCAGCAACTGCTGATGCTGCTCCTGTGCAGCCTGTCCAACTCCTCCTCGTACTCATCCTCTGTTTGGAACTCCTCGCGAACTGCGTGCAATAATCGCTCCATGCCGAATATTGCTGCGGGGGCGTTGCTGCTGGTGTTGCTGTTGCTGCAGGGACAATTGCTGCTGCTGCAGTTGATATTGTTGCATATATTGCAATTACAGCTGCAATTCTCTACGCCAACACTGTTGCTATAGTTCCAATCGCTGCTTTTGTTGCAGTTGCTGCTGCTGCTGCTGCTGCAGTTAATATCGTTGCAGATATTGCAATCGCCGTTGGAATCTATGATAGTGTTGCTGTTGGCATTAGTGCTACTAGTGCTATTTTGGCTATGGCTGCTGCTGCATTTGATATTGCTGCATGTATCGCTGTTGCAGTTGCAATCTCTGTTCGTGTTGCTGCTGCTGCAGTTGAAATTGTTGCAAATATCAGTGTTGCTATTGCTAATGTTGCTGTTGCTGCTGCTATTGCTGTTGCCGTTGCTGCTGCCGCAATTGTAGCTGCTGTTGTTGCTGCTGGCGTCACAGTTCAAATAAGATATGAACATGGTCTTTACAGTGACTTATTTTTCCACATCCGTTCCCTTTTACCTGCCTTTCTCGTTTGGCTTTTGCACGTTTTACATTTCACTTCACTTCATTACACATTCGCTGTAGTCTGGAGATTTTTTCGGAACTGTTTTTGTATTTTTTTCTGGTTTCGATTTTTCTGGCTTATTTGCATTCAGCTCCCAATCGCAATGGCAATCGCAATCCCTATCCCAATCCGGATTTCGATTTTTGCGACTCTGATTCTGCTGTCCGTTTTCGTGTCTGCGGCTGTCATTATGGCGCAAAAAGATTGCCCAGAGATTCTGTTTTGGGTTTGGCTTATTATTATACGATTTTATACACTATTTGCCCCTATTTACTGGGGTATTCTCAAATTTGGATGCAATTGGGCCATGCAAAATAAAGGTATTTTTTTATAGAGGGTAATGTGGGATATTTTTTGGGAAATTCTGAATAAGGTTGGAAAATATCCTTTTTTAAAGTAGCAGTGATTTACCTAAGGTATTCTCAAACTTGGATGCAATTGGGCCACGAAAAAAAAAGTATTCTGTTATAGGGGGATGATATGGGACATTTTCAAAATAGTTTGAGAATAATTTTTTTGAAAGGAACATTCCTAGAGATTACGTTTTTTTAGGAAAATGGCGCTTTCACTGAGAATTCGTTGGCAACCAAATACAGTTTCTTCGGGAAATTAAATTATAATGGGTTTAAAAAAACACATATTACTATGTATAATAAGAAATGAGGGTAAAACAGTATAATCTGTTTAAAAACAGTAGCAATTATTTGATTTATTTGAAAACCTATCAATTAATAGAGGGTGTAGAGAGTTCCCCAGAGTGGAATCTGAATGGGAACTTTGACCGGGTACCTTATTTGGATATCAAGATTCCCCTCTCGCTCACTCCCCCCACCCCTCGCCTGTTGTCTCGCTCTAGCGCACAGCAGGTGGCATGGTGTGCGTGTGTGCTTAATACATTTGTATACATTTTGTTTATGTGCATTGTAATTAAATTCTTATCAGATGGAAATACATACAGAAAAATGTGACTCGTTTTTCTCGGTATTTTTTCTTTTGTTTTTTTGTTTTTCCCTGATTGCGTACTACTTGTTTTAGAGCGAGAGGGCATTTTATTGGCCTGGCAAATTGCAGGTTTGCAGATTTTCCATGTCAATTGTCAAAGTACGCGGCTTTTTCCCTAATATCCTTCCTTTTTTAATGGCCTTTTTTCACTTGTTTGTCGGCGTTCCCTTAGACGCGTTTTATGCGCGGTTTGTGCGCGATTTGTGTGCGTTTTGTGTGCGATTTGTGTTCTGTTTTTGACGCGCTACTCATATTTTGGCATCCACGCTTGATTTGCCGTTAAATGTAGCGTGTCCCCACACACAAACATATATATACCCTAAAATTTCCATAGAATTTCCCAAGCTTTTCAATTTGGCTGTTTGGAATTTTCCTAACCATATAGAAGCTTATAAATTATTATCTGTTACATTAAGTAAAACATTTAAAACATCCGAGCAACTAAGTATTTCCAAGATATTTTACGCCTTTAATTATGCCAAAAATGCAGCAAGAAAGTCGGTATTTTTGAGTAAAGGGACAGGGGGCGAGGAAAATGTGAAGGAGGAGAAAGGAGAAAGTGTGGCAGCTTTTTCAAAGTTGCAAAATTGAATTGCAAATCAATTTGCCGACTGCAGTCTTAATACATCACAATGGACGTTTTTCCTTGGGCAGGAATTGCTGGGGAAAATACCGGGGGGAAATCGACTTGAAATGGAAATCAATGTTGAGATGGCTTTGTGCTAATAGTTCATCAAATAACTTGGTGAAATCATTGGAAATTCCATTTCCATTTTGCTTGTCTTCTGGAGTGTCCGTTAGAGGTTGAAACAATGAAAATAGCTCGAATTTCCTGAAATTCAATCTCGAAGTGAGAAGTTGTCAAAATGCAAGTGCTTATTGATGGCCCGATTAATTGGGATCTTAAAAGGGTAATTCAAGAATTTTGAGATTTATTGATGAATACTAATTATTGGCATTTCCACATTTTTCTTGGGAAATACTAAACTTTTTCCACAAGGAGTTAACTCTGAAATACTTATTTAATTTACCACAAATCGGATAATGAGGCTCCCAATGTAAGCATTAAATTAAAAACCACCAAACAGCACTATTTATATAATTTGAAGCCACACAGAAAATCAATATGTAAATCAGACCAATTTGGCATTGCAATCTATGATGTTTAAATGCAATTATCTGTGAACCCTTTGTCAAAGTTTTTGATCACAACAATTTCGCCCGCTGTCGAGAGCCCAAAAAGAGGCAATCATCCGTAATTAGAATCGTTTGATACCAAATATGAGTGGCCACAGAAATAACGAGGGACCCAAAACCGAGAACCGAGAACCGAGAACCGAAAAACTGAAAACTGAAAACTGAGAGCCGAAAACACAGCCAAACCGAATAAAACGAAGCCAAGCAAGACGTAACAGAACTTGAAACGCAATTTCAATTCAAATGTGATTAATTTCGATGTCGACTGCCTTTGAAGAGCTCTGGACTTTGCCGGCAAGAGGGGAAAAGAAGGTGGAAAAGCAGATATAGAGTGGATGAGTGGGCGGAAAAGCGGGGAAAAGCGGGGAAATGCTCGGCTAATGAAAGGCAAACTGTCGCCAATGGCCCGGACTTGGAAATGGGATTGAGATTCCTCCTCATTGACAAAAACAAAATCGATAAAAACCTTGAAATATCTTTACGTATTTCAATAATGACACTTTGCATTCCCCAACCCACCGCCGACGAGCTCTTTGACTTTGGCCTAATAAAAACGTAAATAAAAATGCCGAAATAAATAAATATTCTAAAGTGCTGAGAGCATCATTATCCTCAAGCCTCATAAAAATAAATAATATACCTTAACCCTTGACGAAAGCTATTAATAACCCGCCCACAAAACTATATAGATCCTGCATAGATAGCTCCTGTATACGCAAATATATATTATACATCATCCATTCATTTGCACATTTAAGCCAATGGGAAATCCATTTGCGCTGGCCCAAATGAAAAATTATCTCCACGTCCTGGCCATCGTCGTTTGCGATTGCGATTAATGCCCGGCATTGGAATTGAAAACGTGGCAACAACTTTCGAGACCGGGCAGCCACCACCTCACCCAAAAACCCAGATTCCAACTCCCCAAAATGGGATTCTGGAGTGGCAGCTCCTGCAAAATGGCAAGAACTCGAGAAAAGGATTTTAAGCTAATGAATATTAACAATGGCCCCCGCCTTTTTGGGTTGCACGCCAAGAAATTGGTAAGTCAACACTGGACGAGTAAAAAAAATATAACATAACTTGGTTCTAAAAAATTATTATATCAAAATCACTGCAGTATGTAAATATGAATAGATTAAGTACAGAGCATGGGATATATTGAGGATATTTAAAACAGAATAATGTTAATTACAATAATTATTTAGAAACAACCAAATATAAAGAGCCTAATATCTATAATTTACCTTGTTGGAAACAATACAATTCAGCAATATATTTTTTAAGAATTACTAAAATAATTAATTATAATTTCTTATATGTTGTATATAACTTTTTTATAGAGACTTGCGATTCAAGTGTAATACACTTTGATTTAAGACCCACTCTCCATTTCTCGCTGTGTAACCCCCGAGGAGAAGTAGATGCATCCGGCAAATGGCCAGAGATTGGGTACCAAAAC